CTCTCAAATAAATAAATAAATAAATAAATAAAATCTTAAAAAAAAAAAACACATGAGAATGACTAAAACAGTACTTAAGGTTGATCAAGCCCCATATCAGGCTCCCTGCTCAGCAGCAAGTCTGCTTCTACCTCTGTTCTCTCAATCTCTCTCTCTCTCTCTCTCTCTCTCAAATAAATAAAATCTTTTTTTTAAAAAAGTGACACAAATACTTTGGAAAACTGCAGTTTTTGTTTTATATAGAGAGTATAAATCTCTGTCTATCCCATAACCTAGCAATTCCATTCCTAGCTTTCCCAAAGAAATAAAATGATGTATCCACAAAAGACCTGTACAAGAATGATTTTTTTTAAAAAAGACTTACTTATTTATTCCAGAGAGAGAAAGTTTGCATTCTTTGAGTGGGAGAAGGGGAAAGGGAGAGAATATCAAGCAGACTCCCCACAGAGCCTGGGGATCCTGACCTAGGCTGGATATCATGACCTGAGCAGAAATCACCAGTTGAAGCTTAACTGACTAAGTCACCCAGGCACCCTGACATATACAAGAATGTTGTTAGCAACTTAATTCATAGTAATCCCAAAATGAAAATAACCAAAATCACTTTCAGTTGGAGGGTAGAAAAATCCTGATATATTTATTAAAAAAAGTACTATTTAACAATAGAAAGGAACACACTACTGCCACATGCAACAATGTAGACTATCTCAAAAATAGGTTGAGCAAAAGAAACCAAAACCAAAAATTACATACTTAATTTATGTGAAATTCAAGAATAGACAGAGTTATCTATGATTATAGAAATTAGAAAGTGGTTACCTATGGGCTAGGAAGTGGAATTTGAGTGGAAGGATTTACAAGAAAACTTGAGATGGTTGAAATGTTCTATATCTTTGGTGATAGTTGCATCAGAGTATACGATTGTCAGAACTCTTAAGGTGATCATTTAAAATCTGTGCATTTTAATGTATGTAAACTATATTTTAATAAACAGACAAAAATATATTTGGGGTGGAATTCACTTTATATTCTGAAAAATATGAGGATATGTGAAAGAATGATGGGAAACAGCCATGAAAACATTTCATTAGCATCTTATTGAGGGTTACATTCAAGAGAGTTACAGAATAGTGTTATCTTTAATATTAAAATTATTATTTTAGGGATGCCTGAGTGGCATAGTCAGTTGTGTCTGACTCTTGGTTTTAGCTCGGGTCATGATCTCAGGGTTGTGGAATTGCGCCTTGCTTCGGGCTCTGTTCTCAGCGCAGAGTCTGCTTAAAGATTCTCTCTCCCTCTGCCCTTCCCCTCACTAAAAAATAAATAAATAAATCTTTAAAAAATAATATTTAAACATTTTTAAATTGCAGAACAATAATGAATATAAATAGAAATACCAGTGTCTCAACTTTTTTAGCCAATGTTTTCTCTTTTTTCATTAAATTTTTTTTATCAGAGTAAAATTTATATATTGTAAAATCCACAGATCTTTAAAAACAAAAAAAAACAAAAAAACAACAAAAAAATCCACAGATCTTGAGTGTACAATCCAATGAGTTTTAATAAATGTATACCCCTGTGTATCAAACACCCAGTCAAGAAATAGAACATTTCTATCACCGTAGATCTAATATATTAGTTATAGTTTTTCTCTGCTATCTCTGTAAGATCACTGAGATTAGTGTGAAATACTTTTGTTTCCATAACTATCATTACAAATAATAGCAACGAAACCCCAGCATTATTAGAACCATGAAGGATGATAATCATAGTAGCTGAAGAAGTTAGTTGATCTCTAGGACTGTTCTAAGAACCCTACGTCCAAATTGTGAAAAGTACCTGAGACAGCTAGTATTTAGAGTGTTATAATATAAATTCCTTAATAGTACTAATAATGGATAATAATATCTTAGGTAATACATTCCAGTGACCTAATTAACCAGTGTGAAGGTTATAAAGAATTATCTTCCTTTAGTTGCCTTAATTTTTCTTTTGTTTCTGGTTGTCCAAATATCTGTAGTACCTGTGTTTTAAATATTTCAGTGATAACATAGGATAGTACTTCATAATAATAATAGCAGACCTTTTCCATCGTATTTCACCCCAAAAAAACCCTTAGTACTTTCTAGACTGTTTATAATAGCTAAAAATCCATGAAAAATAGGCACCTTTTTGGTAGAATGTGCTTTAAACAAAGTGACAAAGCAAGCTACAATTTGTGAAAGATACTAAAGGAAAATGTCATCTACATTTGAAATTATGAAGCGAACATTCATTTCTTTTTTTTAGACAGAAAAATCAATGCCCAAATTTTAGTTTTGCTAATATACAAGATTTGAACTCTTTATAAAAGTACAGTGATATTTGGGCTGATAATAGAATCCTTTTTTAATAATGACATTAAATACCTCTAAGGAGTCACTAAATATTACAGGCAGTTAAAAATTACTATAGAATTGTGACTTACTGATTTTCCTTTCCCTAATTTTATTCACATCCTGAATTCCTTCCCTTCTCTGGCCAAATCTAGTCTTCTCACCTTTTCTTCCTCTGTTTTCTAAGGATCTGGGAGCTAGTACTCATTGCTGAGTGGAAAGAAGGCTGGACTTCTCAATTAGTAGCTCACTCCTCCCTGAAATCCCAATTTTAACTGTTCCTGCTGTGGATTACATAAGTTCTAGGATCATTTTTAAGCATCTTTGGGGTTTTAAAGTTAGAGGACCTTGATAAAACTTTGAGGGGAAAAATCTTAGAGAAGTAAGATTATGCCTTTTTGTATATCAGTAGCCAGATACATAAAAATGTGTTATTTACTAAAGAACATATAGTAGGATAGTGAGGGAAGGTAGATTTTCATTTTTCCCTCTTTGTATAGTCATTGTAGACAGATATTTTTCCTTTTAACCAACACAGGTGGCCAAAAATAGAAAGCAGAAGAGAAGCCTCATTTTTTTTCTCCCCGCCCCCCCAATAAAGGCTCAGTATTTTAAGGTGAAGGGGGAAAAATACACACACATGTGTGCACACGCAGACTTATGAAAGCTAGAAAATGGCTTTCAAAGAAAAATGTATGATCTATAGTTGTAATGTTTAGATATCTGGCAATTGAAAAAATAAATTTTTGATAAAATAGGAAAACAGATTGACATAAATGTACATTAGTGTAGTGACTTTCATGTCTTGTACATACACAGTGAAATGGTTCTGGGCAATAAATTCTTGGAAAGGTAGGGTAGGATTGGATAAATGTCATAGTTTATGACTGAATACATATAAACAGGTGAGAACTCAAGATGGAGAGGTAATAATAACCACCTGATAAAGAGACTTAAAACCTTTTCACCCTACAAAAAGATTGCTTTAGAGTTAGAACTTGATATTACAGTTTGATTTTTAAAAAAGATATTGGTTATATTTGTGGCTACTATGGATACATAAAATAAAAAATGGAAAGCCTTCTGTTTCCCCAAAATAAAAAAGTATTTATCATTTAAAACCTTAACTGTAAAAAAAAAAAATTGATGCTATAGATTCTAGAACTAATATCAAGATTATTGTACAAGGTGACACAGCCACTATTACTGCCAGGGTGTCTTAGAAATAAAGAATCATTGACAGTGGAGAATTATATAACAATTTCAAGTCAGCTTCCAAACTAAAGTTTAATTCTACAACGTTGGCAACATCATAAGCCATCAGACCCTTTTTTTAATCCCCCAAATCCAGCCTGTGCTGTATGTAGCACTTCTAGATTTCAGGTTTTCACACCTTTTATTTCTGCTTATCAAAGCCTCACCCTTCCTCCTCACAAGAATCCTTCTATAAGATTATTACAGCCCACTTTGATTTTCCCTTTCTCTCAATTTTTGTAGCACTCATACTACTGTTAGATCTCTTCTCTGCTGTTTACGAGGCCAGAACAATTTGTTCTCTTTCTTTGTACACATTAGTTAGCAAGTGCTGGGTGATTAGTAAGCATTACAGAAAATAGTTTAAAAGGAATTCAGAACAGCAAGCAATTAATAGTGTGATAAATGGTGTTTGGAGGAAGTGGATCATAAATGGGACCTAAACTAAAGAAAGATTTGATCCTGGTAAAGAAAGAAAAGGCATTCTAGCCTAGGATCACAGAATGAGCTGAGGCCGAAGTGTGCATATCTAAGTGACTGGGCCTACAGGTGTCATTTCATATTAGATTAATTAACTAATGAACAAATGAATTCAGAGTAGAGTAGTTTGGCCAAGGTTACTGGACTATTCCTTTTACATCATTCATTCATCACACATTTTTACTTTTAGGGTACAAGATGAAGAAATATTTATTTTCAGGAATTCAAATTTTAATGGGGCAGACAGAAATGTAAAAACTATTAAAATAATTTTTAATTTTATTGGAGACAGTAGTTTCCAATAAGAGGTATGCACAAGGTGTGTAGGAACACGGAGGAGAAACCTGCAGAGAGAATAGGGGGATATCCTGTAGGAAAGGCCAAATTTTCAAGGGCTTTAAATGCCATACTCCATCATTTGAACATTATTTTGGTTATTCTTGAGACAAGTCACTGTGTCAGAGCAACTTTATGAACGTTTAAGAAAGCACTTACCCTTCCTAGGATTTCCTCGTGGGTTTTACTAAGAAACTTCTGAGAGTTTTCTTGGCCTGGCTCCATAATTATACTTCAGGTTTAGCAGACAGCAAAAGTCAAGATAAAACTGGAAGAGTCAGCATCTCTAAACTGTTTGGAAATACCATCTCAGAAGGTAGTAAACCTTTAATATTAAATTTTCACAAATATCAAATTGAGATGCCCTAATTAGTGTGGAGAGCTGAAATATCTACAAAGTGATATTTGAGTTTATTTACAAAGGTGATAATTTAGTACATTTAAAATCTGAAAAGAAAGAGCAAGGAAAATAATACTGGTTTGAATTTTGCAAGTTTTAAAAGCATTCTCAAAGAACTAAACATAAGTATTTTTGTCTCAAATATTTATTTTCAGTCATTTGATTCTTCAAAAATCACAAGGAAGAAAAGTATTAGAACTTATTCTCCAACAACTGGAACTTGTCAGATGAGCCCATTTGCTGCTTCTGCAAGCTCTAAAGAACAAGAGCACAAAAATGAACCATCAAACGGTTAGTTGAACATTCTTTTCCATTTATTGTAATATTTTTCTAGTTATTGGTTAAATCAGAATTTTTATTTAATAATCTATGGATCTTGCAGCTTATTTTTTTCTTTTTTCTTAAGGAATTTGATGTAAAGAAGGCTAGAATATAGGTGCTACTTTGGATATAAATGTAAACTTTCTAGGTACTTATTTTAAAATGCTACTGCAGACTTTGTTCTCTTACTATCCCATCCATTAAACAGAAATTATAGTCTGACTGCCTTCAGCTACTATCAATTATAATGGTTACAGATATACCCCTTAACAAGCTATCCATCATTTGCATAATTAAAGAGCATATAATTCAGGTACTGCTGCACTACAGTTTAAGAGAGATACTTCTAAATGTTATTTTTATTCATGTTGTCCATTTAGTTTTATCCACATTTCGTTTATCTTTATATAGCCTGCTTTTATTATATTTCATTACCGTCTTTCCTTTTACTATTTTAAATACATTTGCAAAAAACTTATAGTTTTCCACTAAAGAATAACCTAATTTTAATATGGAATTGTTTATTTAAAAATATTGTTAGTTTAATTTAATATATATTTCTTATTCTCTGGTAGTTTATTGCTAAAATATTTATTTAAAAGATATATGAATCTAGATTTCATAGATTTAATTTTTAATATTATAAAAGGTCATGAATCATTGACATGTCAAGTTTCTATAATGTAAAATTCTAAGTAGGCTCAAATTTAATAAAATATATTTTAGATGTGCTGTGATTAGCCTAATTCATATTTTATTGTTTAACATTTATTGAGTGCTAAGAATATACTAGAAGCTACACAGAAACAAAGAAATCTCATTTTACCTAATTTTTTGTAATGAAACCCATAATGAGATCTTAAACTTTTGAATGACTTTTATTTTACTTTAATCAAATGCTTTTTATCTTACAGCTATTACTATTAGGTTTGCTTTCACAAAAATGTATGAAGATGTATACATTTTCTTCAAGCTCTATCTGTTTTTAATACACTTAATATATCCTTTGTTTAAAATTAAAAATTAGTGTCTTAGAGATGGCACATCTCTATACTGAAATATGAATAGATTTTAAGTGGATACGTACTTGATTTCCATATTGAAATTAAATATGGACTTAAGGGAACATTCCTTTTGCCCATAAAAAGATTAGTCACATGATCCCGGTTGACATTTAAGTGGATAATTATACAGATTATTGTACTAAGTAAGCTCTTTTTTAAAAAGTCATATAGCAAGGGTTCCTGGGGTGCTGGTAATATTCTATTTTTAACTTATATAGTGGTTACACTGGTTCATTAAACTATATATATATGTTTCATACACTCTGATATATATGTCTCACATAGAAAAGTCTCAACATAGGAGAATTCTCTAGGATCTTATATCACATTATGTCACTTGTAATCATTACATTGCTTGTCTTAATATTTCATCTTGTACATGTTTAGAAATAAGAAAGCCTGATTCTTCTGAAATAATTTAAGTTCCAAATGATCTCATAACTTCTATTAACAATTCTCAGTTTTTAAATATTGTACAAACATAAGGTGCAACTGAAATAAGCACTTTTATTTAAATAGCATTTTCAAGGGCATTTTAGGTACAATTCACTTCCCATTACACTTAGTATATAATTTAAAACTGTATCATGACTTTTAAGGCCATACATCATCAAATACCTGACCATCTCGTCTGTCTCATTTTCTGTTACCATTCCCATGTTTACACTACTTTAATAACTCTTACTTTCTTGCTATTCTTCAATCATGCTAAACTCCTTCCTGCCACAAGGTCATTGCACTTGAAGGTCTCTCAACCTATATTCCTTCTGGAATTCTCTTTCTCTAGGTATTTATATGTACTTTCTATATACATTTGAACTGTGTACTATGCGGACAGGTGACTTAGTATTAAATTTAAATACATTCGTACTTATAAAAGCAAGAAAAATCTATTTCTACATCTTCCCTCTACTTAGAGTCTATATGTGGGCCAAAAATGAGGTGAGTGGTTCCAGTTCATACATTTGAGATATATATTTATTTACTTATCATCATATATGTTTCTCATTGTTATATGTGTTTGTGTGTGTATCATTAAATTGCTGCCCTCCCCTACCCCTTATCAAATTTCTCCAAACTATTATGCTTTTCAGTAAAGAGGAAGGATGCATCAGACTTATTAATAACTAGAGTGGAAGGATAAACAATAAATTTGCATAGTCAAAGAGAGTATTAGGGAATTAGACAATAGATTAGATCTGTAGAAATCATCCGGACTGTAGCAATGTAATAACATAGAGAGATAAAGAAATGGAGAATATGATAAAATGGTAAAGAGAAATGATGAGTAGAATAAGAAGCTCCAACATATGTCAAATAGGAGTTCCACGAGGAGGAAATAGGGAGAATGGGCTGAGGCAGTATTCTAAGATAAAAGGACTATCAATTTTTCATCATTTCAATTTCACAGTTAAGGAAAGATGAGAATTTCCAGGTTGGATAGCATACTTAGTCTCAGCAGGATGAATGAAAATAAATCCACACCTAGTCATATCACGGTAAAACTACAAACTATGAAAGACAAAGAAAATATTAAAGGCCACCAGAGAAAAGACATATAACCTACAAGGGAATGACAGACTGATAGTGAATTTCTCATCTGTGTCAACAGATTCCAGCAGGAAGTGGAATAATACCAACTAAAAATCAAAACTGAATTTTTTTGTTCAGGAAGTGAAGATGAAATAAATAAAAGATTTTTTTCAGACAAAGTCTGAGAGAATTTACCATTCATAGATACTCCTTGAAGGGACTACTAAAAAACGAACCTCATATAAGTAAACTGAGCCTCAGGTAAAGGAATGGAATACAAAGAGCAATGGTGAAGAAAATAAATTAGCAAACATGTTAGTAAATTTAATTTAAAATCTAATTATAGGGACACCTGGGTGGCTCAACGTTTGAGTGTCTGCCTTCGACCCAGGGCATGATCCTGGAGTCCCGGGATCGACTCCCACATCAGCGTCCTTGCATGGAGCCTGCTTCTCTCTCTGCCTATGTCTCTGCCTCTCGCTCTGTGTCTCTCATGAATAAATAAATAAAATCTTTAAAAAAAAGTCTAATTACAGAAATGTGACTACAAATTCTGCTGACTATAAAGCAAAAGACAAACAATTTGAGATGGGATTAAAAGCAAATAGGCTGTAATGGCATGGAATATTGATGAGGGAACAGAAAGGAGCTAAAGTGTTTTAAGATTCTTATAATCTTTAGGGAAAAGAGTATCTGTTAATTGACTTTGTAATTTTTTTTAATTGCCTGTAAAAATGGGGAAAATAATTATATCTGCCTCAGAATTCTTGTGAGAATTAAATAAAGTAATATATAGAAAGCACTCAGAACAGTGCCTGGCATGTAGTAAGCTTCCAATACATATTTCCGCTGTTTTTATTGATATCATTATTATTTAGTCTTTAAAAAAAAGACATAGGATAATTAAATGTAAAGGGATAGAAAAAATATGTATTAGCTTTAAAAAAAAAAAAAAAAGAATAGCTGGTGTAAGTATATTGGTATAGACCAAAATAGACTTTAAGGCAAAAAGCCTTATTGAAGATGATAGGAATCTTTACCTAGTGAGAGAAGGAAAGAGTCACTACCAGAAAAAAAAAAAAAATTCCTGAAACTATGTGCATCTAAAACAAAAATAAAACCTAATGAAATAGGGCCAGATTACAAAGAGAGACTCACAAATCCCTAGTTTATAGTAAATTTTAAAGTACCTCTTCAAAAACGATGAAATAGATAAAACCTTAAGAAGGCTATAAACAATTTGAACACAGCTAAGCAAACGTGATCTAATGAGCTGTGGTCAAACAAGTCTGATACCCAACACGTGATAAAGCATGACCTAGAACTTTTACAAAACTATAACCAGTTTGCAATCACAAAGAAGTCTCAACATACTAAAATTGCTGTCACCTTCTCAACCAAAATTCTGTGCAATTAGGAATCAGCAATAAAAAGGCAGCCCTCTAAAAATTTTAGCCCACAAGTTTGAAAACCTAGAGCCTTCTAAATAATCCATTGTTCAGGAAAATCAAAATGGAAAATATAAAATATTTAGAATTGAATGATAATGACAACAGAAAACTTACAGGAAAACTTTACACCTAAACACTGCATTATACTAAAACAGTTCTTAGTGGAAACTTTATGCTTATAAATGCATGTATTTAGAAAGGAATAATGATTGAAAACAAATAAGCCAAGCATTCAATTTAGAAGGATGGAAAAAGAATAGAACAAATCCCACAAAATACAAGAAAGGAAATAAAAGATATAAAGAGAAAATATTAAATAGAAAACAAGGCAATGATAAAGTAACAAAATCAAAACCAGATTCTTTGAAAAGACTAACCAAATGGTAGACCTCTGGCAAGATTGATCTCTTTTTAAGTGGGAGAAGGAACAGACAATATGTATTTCTAAGGAACTGATAAATTACTATGAGTTTAAATATATGATGAGCAGTTTGAGATATATGAGCCAAATGCTTCTTAATGTGGTCCACAATCTAATTTGGGTGAAAGATTTTAAAACTTACCATTCTGCTTCTTAAGTATTAATGTTTTAGTAGCTAAAAAGCAATTCCAATTTTCTCATTTTTACCTTTCTATTCAATAATATAGGTAATATTTTAAGAATATTACATTTCCTCCATAGGATCAATAAAGGTATTTTGAATTTTAAAAAAGGAACCATTAACATTGTTATTTTTCATTAATTGATTCTCTAAAGAGATTCTTCACTCTCCACTCTTGTTTAATAATAATAACTTAGTTAATTAAAAGAATATATGATTTTGGGATCCCTGAGTGGTGCAGTTGGTTGAGCATCAGACTCTTGGTTTCTTCCTTGATTTCATTTCATTCTATCAGCAACTTGATCTCCCAATAACTCTTTTTAGAAAAAAATTACCAGTGTTTAATACATTAGACAAATCACGTGAACCTCTCTGAGTCAAGGTTTTCCTCAACTCATAATGTTTGGTTTGATGATGATGCCTAAGATGCATACCCACTATAAACTATATGTGTCTTGAAGCAGCATCATACCTGCCTAAACCTGTTTAAAGAAGCATAGCATCCTGCTTAAGAAAACAATCTTAGTAGCCAGATGACTGGCATTAGATCCTGACTCTGCCGCTTACTATCTTTAGGGCTTGGGTAAGTTATGTGGCTATTCTGTGCCCTATGTTTCCTCATCTGTAAAATGGGAGTAAGAGTGACCAATTCAGCGCACCTTGGTGGCTCAGTGGTTAAACATCTGCCTTTGGCTCAGGTTGTAATCCCAGGATCCTGGGATGAAGTCCAGCATCAGGCTCCCCACAGGGAGCCTGCCTCTCCCTCTGCCTGTGTCTCTGCCTCTCTCTCTCTCTCTCTCTCTCTCTCTCTCTCTCTTTCTATCATGAATAAATAAATAAAATCTTTAAAAATATTTTTTTTCTGTTCTCTGATATTCATATCACTAAGTTGGTTCAGAAACTGATTAACAATAATTTCCCTCATTGTTACTTTGGATCTTATGGCTTCTCTCCAAAAACAAAAAAATAAAAACCCCCAAAAACCAAAACCAGTATCATAACTAAATTATTCAAAATAGCCTTTAATTCTAAAAAGAGAAAAACTTGTGCTTTAGAAATTTAGCCAAAGTACTAGTTACCACTCTTGTTTATTAACTTTCCATTATTTGACTCGTCTACATCCTTAAATTCCAATAGTAAGAGTTTATTTAACAAAGGATTAAAGGGAAAAACAGTAACAATATTTTATTGATGATTTTAAAGAACTCTGAGGAAAAAGTCTATTAAAATCCATTTCTCAAAAAATAAAATCAAGCTGGATATGAAATCCCATGATACACATGAAACCTTATTCTCAGAAAATCTTTGCCTAAAGGTTAATAATACTAATTTCCTGACTTTTGTGCTATGCTATCTGCATTCAATAAAGCTCCACAATTAAATATTAAAATATTTTGTTCCTTTAACTGTAATTAATTTTCACATTTTAGAGCCATTAGTCAATAAAGTTAGGTGAGAAATAGTAAAAGAATGCTTTATTTGAATTTTCACCAGGTGTTCAATGCCTGCTGAAACATTTTTATTATTGTAAGGGGATCAGATATCTTGTCCTATAAAAAGTAATCAATAGCCTAATAGCATTAATCTCAATCTTCTCATGGAAGGACTTATATTTCTAATATACTTTCCAACTGTTAAATAGGAGTTTTAATATCTCTGAGAATAACATTTGGATCATTTAGCAGAGACTGGACTCTAATATATCATTAAGAGTATTCCAGTTACTGAGGTGCCTCAGTGGCTCAGTCAGTTAAGCATCTGACTGTTGATTTTGGCTCAGGTCATGGTCTCAGGGTTGTGAGACTGAGCCTTGCATTGAGCTCTGTGGCTTAGGGTTCTCTTGCTCCCTCTCCCTCTGTCTCTCCTCCCCCACAACTAACATGTGGTAAAGAGCTACACGTGAGCCAATGGTGGCGCTAAACCGCTGAGCCACCTGGGCTGCCCAGAAAATATACTTTAAATAAGCTTTTTCTCTAGTAATAGGTGCAAGTAAGAGTAATGGAATAAAAATTAAGTGAAGAAAAAAGTACAAACCAGCATTGGAAAGTCTGTTCCAGACATTAATACGTTAATAAATTACATTTGAAAATTTAAAGAAATTGCCTTTGTGTTATCTGTGTACTCGGTTTCTGTGTGTGTGTGTGTGTGTGTGTGTGTGTGTGTGTGTGTGTACTCGGTTTCATCTAAAAGTATTGGATCTTCCTGCTGTATTACATAGAGCTATATATCCTATACATATACATATAGAGCATTTGAAATGTGGCTTATCTGATTTGAGATGTGCTACAAGTTTAAAACACACCAGATATCAAAGACCATATGAAAAAGAGAATATGAGTGACCTCATTAATAATTTTATATTATTATGTGTTAAAATATAGTATTATGAGTATATGGGGTTAAATAATAAAAATTTATTTCACCTGTTTTTCCTTTGTGAAGAATAAGGACATTGAGTTAAGTAATAGTTCCTGTGCCAGTTGTTGAACAAATGGAACAACATGAAAATACAAAATGTAAGGAGGTTGTCACCAATGATGCATTTAAAAAATTTTTTTCTCTGGGCTTTTTTTCATTAGTAGTAAACAGTTTGGATTATTCATTCATTTGCTTGTTTATTCATTGAATAAACATTTACTAAAGGCCAGTACACATAAGCCATTAAGAAACTTTTTGCTAATATGTCCTCAAATACTTATTATACATCAAACTGTTTAAATTTTATGGTGTACTATAGTATGAAGTACAGTAGAACCAACTATGAAAGGGAGAGCTCATAAAACAATTATCTATTTGACCACCAGTAAGTGCAAACATATCCTGCTAGAGCTGTAAAATCAAATTTACATTTCAACCTCACACAGAGGATCTTTCCAAGAATTTACTAAGTCATTATGCATTTTTTCAATATGCATTTTAAAGTCAAGCACATTTATCAAATTTATTATACTGTGACATCACTAGAAACTCACTATTTGTAGATGGTAATATCACCGACTCCTTGTTAACTTTGAGGCAAAAAATAGGGGTAAAATAATACAAAGTGGAAACTTTAAGATGACATTTTTTATTAAAATATTTGATGAGGGATCCCTGGGTGGTGTAGCGGTTTAGCGCCTGCCTTTGGCCCAGGGCGCGATCCTGGAGACCCGGGATCGAATCCCATGTCAGGCTCCCGGTGCATGGAGCCTGCTTCTCCCTCTGCCTATGTCTCTGCCTCTCTCTCTCTGTGACTATCATAAATAAAAATTAAAAAAATATTTGATGAAAGTATCCTTTATCTAGTAAAGATTTTTTTTCTGTATAAAGTCATCATGAATAAAAAATTGGGATATTGGGAAATAAAAAAAATAGCTATTGAAAAGTTGATAATAGTGATTCCCAAAGCAAATTCCAGGATACTTGTTATTTTCCTACTTTCCTTTCATTAGTCTATCCTTTTATTTTTTGTTTAAACTTTGGCAATCTAAATTCTATTTAGAATTTGACAAATTTCCCCTTAACTTTAAGTTCTTCTTTTTATTGCATATATATAGAAAAGAGGAAAAAACTGAACCACCTCAGTTTAACCGAAAGGAAGGAATCTACAACAAAAGACCATGATGAGTAAGTCTGTTGTTTTTGAAATCATAAATACATGTATCTTGAAAGAAAAGGATATTTCTTAAAGTGAACATTTAAGAGAAATAATTTATTTGCAGAAATTTAAAAATACACCTGAGTTCAAACATTTTTTTTAAGAAGTAAAATATTTTGTGATGTGTTTTACAGTATTCATGTGATCATAATACATGGTATCTTAATGTTTTTTTAAGATTTCTTTCTTTAGGGCAGCCTGGGTAGCTCAGCAATTTAGCGCCACCTTCAGCCGAGGGCATGATCCTGGGGACCTGGGATCGAGTTCCTTGTTGGGCTCCCTGCATGGAGCCTGCTTCTCCCTCTGCCTGTGTCTCTGTGTCTCTGCCTGTCTCTCTCTCTCTCTCTCTCTCTCTCATGAATAAATAAAATCTTTTTTAAAAAAAGATTATTTGAGAAAGAAAAAGAAAGTTCAAGTGGGGTGAGGGGCAGAGGGAGGGGGAAGGAGAGAATCTCAAGCAGACTCCCCACTGAGCACTTAGCCCCCATGTAGGGCTCAATCTCACTACCCTGAGATGAGATTATCACGTGAGCGAAAACCAAAAGTCAGACACTGAAGTGACTGAGCCACTCAGAAGCCCCTGTGATATCTCAATTTTAATACTCATGAGTACAGTCTCTCAGCCCATGAATAAGAGACCAGCTTAAGATAAAACTGAAGAAAACACCTTTTCAGATTTTATATAGATGGAAAAGTAATCCATCATCTGGTAACATAGTGCCTAACAAATAGTTGGTTCAAGAGCTAGGAACACAGTGAAGCCAACAGAGTAAGAGATCCAGAGGAACTCAGGAGGCTTATATGCCAGTACCCACCTAATTTCATATTGGCCAGCCATTGCTGCCTTGAATGAAGATATTATCTATAAATATCTACTTCCCATATATAATCTGGAAAGAATAGTATATTTATCCATTGAGGCTGGAAAATTGAATTAAGCAGAATGGGAGTTAAAGTAGTTCATATGTTCAGCTCATTTACCCTTTCAGCTATATTAACTGTTTGCCATACAATATGATGGATAGGTAAAGAAGAAAATAAAGTTTCTCCCATTGGGAACTTATGGTCTTATGTTGTAAGTCAATATACCTTTCCAAACTTAGAAATAGGTTATGTGTTATGTTTCAAATTTTTTAAAAATCATTTGAGTGAAATTCAGAATGCATTTTTCATACAAATATTATAATTTATGGTTATAATGCCAGAAGTCTCTTTTTCTCATAATATAGCTGAACTATAGTATTAATCAGTAGTAGTCTAGATTAAAATATATAAAAATTGAGTGCCATTTAGAGTACAACAGGGACAAAGGGAAAAGTTTCTCAAAGAAATTTTCTTTTGACATCTATATCATCATACCCCCTTTATCTACTTTTACTAGATACTTTTCCTAGCCACATTTCCCTCAACTCCAGATATTCTCATGCACCCTGTCCCACTAATATTTTTGTTGTAAATTACTACACCTTCCTTCCCATAAGTAAAGTTCACATTTCTTCAGTGAAGCCAATATCAACTAGATATTAAAAGGAAAGCATTCTTGGGGTGCCTAGGTGGTTCAGTTGGTTAGGTGTCCAGCCCTGGTTTCATCTCAGGTTATGATCTCCGGGTTATGAGACTGAGTTTGAGTGTGGTTCCCTCAGCACAGAGTCGACTTCAGATTCTCCCTCCCTCTCCCTCTATTTCTCCCCCCACTGGTTCTCTCTCTCTCTCTCTCAAATAAATAAATAAATAAAATCTCCCCCCCCAAAAAAAAGGAAAGCATTCTTTTTAACTTATTAAATACATTTTAAAATTGGCATTATATACACACAGAAAAATCTCAAATTGTACAAAAGGACATACAGGGAGAGCAAGTGACAAGTAACAATTTTTGAGGCATGTATAATCTTATATTTGAAAGCAGATACTTAGTGTAATATAAGACTGATGATTCACTGAACTCTATCTCTGAAACTAATAATATACTATATGTTAATTAATTGAATTTAAATTAATAAGTTAAAAATGAAAGCAGATACCTGCTAAATAAACCAAATGAATTTCTGATATAATTATATGAAGTATAACAAACTTAGGAGTAAAAGTAGACAGTGAAGGAGGAAATGTTTTTGGACAACAGTGATAACCATGTAAGCAACCAAACTTAACCCTTGCTTTCCCCTCAGTCAGCTCCACTTAAGCTATTCTGTTTATAGTTTCTTCCCTTCCTTATTCTTCTGAACCCATCAATTTGCTTACAGCTCCAGATTTTTAACAACAGATATCTTAGCAGTGAGCTTTCGAGTAGCAAGGGAGTAAGAACCTATGGTTCACTTAGGAATTTGCCTATATTTATTTAATTTCTCTCAATATTTATTTCTAAAGATCCCAGTTATTTATATATATCACTCCATGACTTGATACTAGAATAAGTGAACTTAAGGACAAGCCAAGATATTTTACAATAGATAAAAATTATGGCTTGCTGATTGTTTTTTCTACTCATTATAAAATTACTTAATCCTACTCAAAGCTATTTTACTAGCTTTTGTAATGCGTCCTTCATTTGTTCTATTTGTTTAGATTTCTTTTATTACCTTGTAAAGCCATTCTAAAGACTTGGTTTTTTAAAATCTGAAATTGAACATTTCTTATTTGCACATCAGTTTTAAAGGATCATAGCATTTTATATTTTGTTTTGGCAATTGTATAGGTTAGGATTGTCCAGAGAAACAGAACCAATCACAGATACATATATGTGTAATAACATAATAATAAGGTATTAATAAAATATATTTAATGATAAGATGGCATTGATGTAATTGTTATTGATAATTAAAATGTATTGGGGTGCCTGGGTGGCTCAGTTGGTTAATCATCCAGTCCTTGATTTCAGCTCCGATCATGATCTGAGGGTCGTGGGATCAAGCCATTGGGCACAATGCTCAGCAGGGAGTCTGCTGGAGATTCTATCTTGCCCTCTCCCTCTGCCCCTCCCCCTACTCACATGCATGCACACACACTCTCTAAAATAAATAAATCTTTTTTTTTTAAGTTTTTATTTATTTATTCATGACAGAGAGGCAGACAGAGACACAGGCAGAGGAAAAGCAGGCTCCATGCAGGGAGCCTGACATGGGACTCGATCCTGGGTCTCCAGGATCACACCCGGGGCTGAAGGCAGCGCCAGACCACTGGGCCCACCGGGGCTACCCTTAAAATAAATAAATCTTTTAAGAAATAACTAAAATGTATTGATAATGATTTATATATATATACTTGCATATATATAGAGAGATTGATTATTAAGAATTGGCTCATGCAGTTACACAGGCTTAACTCCATCATCTCCCATCCACAAGTTTGAGACCCCAGAAAGCCAGTGGTGTAATTCAATTTCAGATCCAAAGGCCTGACAACCAGGGGAGCTGATGCTGTAAATCCCAGTTCAAGAGTAGAAGAACAACATTCCAATTCAAACAGGCAGGCAGGATGAGTTGCCTAGGTGGCTTAGTGGATTGTCTGTGCCAACTCTTCATTTCGACTCAGCTCACGTTTTCAGGGTCATGAGATCAGCCCCATGCTGGCTATGGAGTCTGTGTCTTTGACTCCTAACAGCATCAATGTATTTTCACATTTGCTTGATCTTACCACAAACACAAAATAATTTCAGAATTCCTATACTCATAGCACTGCTAAAAACAAACCTGCAAAGCATTCAAGATTTGTTTGCAGTCTTTTTTTTTTTACTTTAATTTGACAGTATATAGGCAAATTACTATGTTCAAAACTACTTGGGTTAGTTCTTTATTGTTGTTTTTTATTTTAATTCCAGTTTAGTTAACATACAGTTCTGTATTAGTTTCAGGTGTACAATATAGTGATTCAGCAATTCTAAACATTACTCATTTCTCATCATGATAATTGTACTTTTTAATCCCCATCACCTATTTCACCCATCTCTCCCACAAAGCTCCCCTCTGGCAAAAATCAATTTGTTCTCTGTAATTAAGAATCTGTTTCTTGGTTTGTCTCTCTCTTTTTTTTCTCCTTTGTTTGTTTTATTTCTTAAATTCCACATATGAGTGAAATCATACAGTATTTGTCTTTCTCTGACTTATATTACATAGCCTTATACTCTCTAGTTCCATCCAGGTTGTTGCAAATGGCAAGATTTCATTCTTTTTTGAATAATATTCCATTGTTTATATATGTCACATCTTCTTTATCCAATTCATCATTTGATGGATGTTTGGACTGCTTCCATAATTTGGCTATTGTAAATAGTGCTGCAGTAAACATAGAGGTGCATGTATCCCTTTGAATTAATGTTTTTGTATTTAAAGGGTAAATACCCAGTGATGCGATTACTGAAGAATAGGGTAGTTCTCTTTTTAACTTTTTGAGGAGCCTCCATACTGTTTTCTACAGTGGCTGCCCCAGTTTGTATTCCCACCAATAGTGTAAGAGGGTTCCTTTTTCTCCACATTACTTGGATTAGTTCTTTGTTTGAAGAATTAGTTATTCACTTGAAATAGTTTGGTTTTCTTGCTTCTGTTTGTATTCAATTTTAATTTTTTCTCTCATCTTTTTTAATTTAATCTTTTAAATGATGTCAAACATTAATATGGTTCTAAAAGCCAAAACTTAACAAAAAAGTATATTCAGAAAAGTGTCACTCCCTGCCCCATTTTTCCTATCTACTCCCTGTATGTAAACAAATTCATTAGTTTGTGGTTTACATTTTGCTTATTTTTATAAAATTAAGTTGTTTCATTTCTTTTTTCTGATTTCTCTTTTTATGCAAAGATGGCATACAGTGTATACTCCTTTACATTCTTTGTTTTTCTGTTAGTATATATCCTAAAATGATACCTTGTTAATCAATTTGGCAAGTTTTAAATATAAGAATTCTTCCAACAGGAAAATATAGTTCCATATTCTAGGTTTAAATTTTTTTTTCCCCAGAAAACAAGCAGTTAGTGACAGGTCAATAAAGCTCATTTATAAACAAACACCTACACGTTAATATTTTATGTGAACTTCTATATCCTTTGTACTCTGAAAGGAAAATATATTATATATTTCACTGGCATTGGCTTTTCTTCCTCTTGGAAATTTGCTGCTGGCTACTGTCACTGCTATGAAAATGCAACAATGGAGACTGTCCTTCTGCAGGGTTTACTTCCATTAAACTTTTTATTTTCAGATTGTAGATTCACACACATGCTGTTGTAAGAAGTAAAACATGATGCTATATATAGAAAATCCCAAAGAATGCACAATGACTGTGTTCCTTACTATGTAACTGTGAGTAATTAGTGTTTTAGTTTCCATATATGTAAAATGGAGATGTTTACCAAAGAGTTATTTTTAAGATTAAGATATAGCTTGTGAAGTTAACAAGTATCATGCTTTGACTTTAGAAAGAGCTCAAAGAAACTTAGCAATATATTTCATCATTACAGTCCAGCTATCATCCAAAATAATCGGTTTAGATAAACAGAATAAGTATAAGTATAAACAGATAAGTAGAGGTTCTGTGACCTATTTACCTTTTTCTCTATTAGACATAGTAAGTAGGGGGATCCCTGGGTGGCTCGGCGGTTTAGCGCCTGCCTTTGGCCCAGGGCGCGATCCTGGAGTCCTGGGATCGAGTCCCACATCAGGCTCCTGGCATGGAGCCTGCTTCTCCCTCCTCCTGTGTCTCTGCCTCTCTCTCTCTCTGTCTATGATAAATAGATAAATAAATCTTAAAAAAAAAAAAAAAAGACACAGTAAGTATTAAGAGGATAAAGGAAATCTGAGGATTTTGTCCCTGTAATGTACATATAACTTTCAGGTTTCTTGAAATTATATACAAATACAGTCTCTTACAGATAGTGACTTTTGATATAAGTTTTTGGTAATGGAATTAATTATGAGTTCATTTGTGGCCTTTGAGAGTATAGTACCAGTAGAGTGGTAAGGCAGAAATCTGAATATAAGAGTTTAATTTCAGTACGGAGGAATAGAGATTGGGTTTGGACCATTATTTTAAGCAATGATTTATGGGGGGAAAATTCATTAAATTAAGTAAAAGAATTAAACAGCCTCAAGGGCCAAGTAAATCATATACTTGTAATATATGATTACATACATCCCTGGGTGGCGCAGCGGTTTAGCGCCTGCCTTTGGCCCAGGGCGCGATCCTGGAGACCCGGGATCGAATCCCATGTCGGGCTCCTGGTGCATGGAACCTGCTTCTCCCTCTGCCTATGTCTCTGCCTCTCTCTCTCTATGTGTGACTATCACAAATAAATAAAAATTAAAAAAAAATCTGCTGTAAGATTCTTGTAGCACTCACAGTTTGGGCCAGAGAGTGAAGAAAACAAATAGGTAGGAAATCCAGGATTACACATTAGAAGGACATGTGTGTGGCAGAAGGTTAAGGGACTTTCTTTTCTTTTTGTTATTATCCCCAGCTTTATTGAAGTGTAATTGACAAATAAAATTATATATATTTAAAGTTTGTAACAGAATGATTTGAAACATATGTGTGTACCCATTCCATGAAACTGGTTGCAGTCAGGATGGGAGGAGTTGATTTCATCTAGGAAGAAGTAAAAGAAGGAGGAAGAGAAGAAGGAGATTAAAATAAAAATGGGGGTCACCTGGCTGACTCAGTCAGTAGAGCATGCAACTCTTGATCTCAGAATCATGAGTTGAGCCCCATGTTAGATGTAGAGTTTACTTAAAAATTAAATTAAAATTAAAAAAATAAAAATGAGAAGAATGATGTATTGTCACCTAGTCCACTGGTCATGCAGTGAAGACAAGTTTTCCTCTAAAAGCAGCTCAGGCATGTGAAGGATATCCTGGAAAATAGTTTTCCCAGTTATTTGATACTCAGGCCATACAGCTAGCTCTCCAAGGTTGTCAAAAACAGTTTGCCTAACTGAGCCCCTCAATAACTATCTTAATTTGAGAGGCAGAATTACTAACAGACCCTTTGGGGATATTACATTGTACGATTCCTGGGGACTCCATTTACATCTTACTCTATCTGAACAGAGAGCCCCTTGGATAGCAACCCTGCAGGACCCACCCTTCCCACATAATTACATGAGGGTCAACAAGGAGTATCATCAGTTGCTTAAGGTGTGGTAAGATAGTGTAGAGAGGATCTGCCACTTCAGTCCTCCCAGGAAAAGAAGGCAAGGTAAAGAGCCCTTCGGAATGCTTCTCATGGTGAAATAGCCGGTTTGCCTCAGCTTTGCCCCCTTGAGGCAGTAGTAGCATTGGTATAATGTCGGGGAAACTGGAGGTTCCCGGCCATGGGTGGGAGTCACTTAAGCCCTCTTGCTCCTTGAGGCTTTTGGAGCTCAATGGAAGGAGCTGGATTTCTTTTATGACACTCTTTCAAACTGAGGTTCAGGTGATAAGTAAGGCTTTTCATTGAAAATACTTGATAATCAAGGAAAATTTTTAAAGAAAAAAGATCACCTGCAATTCCATTTTCCTCACATAAATTTTAGTTTTTGCATAAATGCTGTTTTTCATTCCTTGTTTGCATACATGTATTTTACTTGGAGGGAACATATTGTACATATTTGTTGCATATGAAAATTTAACATATCAGTCTTATTTTTAATAGCACAGAAATGTTAATGGATAATATTGATATAATTTTGAAAAGCATTTAAATAAAATTTCTTTTTTTTTTTTTTCATAAAGTCAATAGCATAGATTTGTGGTCTCTGAAACAGTAGTCACTAGCCAGCCACACATGGCTAATGAGCATTTGAAATGTGACTAGTCTGAAATGAGATGTGCTATGAGTGTAAAGTACACACTGGATTTTGGAAAAAAAAAAAGCATACAATATCTCATGAATAATTTTTATTGATTACATGTTGAAATGATAATACTTTAGATATGTTGGTTAAATAAAATATATTATTAAAATTAAGTTCACTTCTTTTTACTTCTTTCAATGTGTCTACTAGAAAATTTTAAATTACATTTGTGGCATACATTTTATTTCTGTTAGACTGCACTGATGTAGATTATCATATACAGCTATGAGATCATAAAATTGGACAATAAGGGAATAGTTAAATCATCTTTGGCATGTTTACTAGATATAATATTGTGCAGCCTTTAAAATTATAAACCTATGGGTGATGTGGCCAAAAAGTATATGTATTATATTAAGGAAAGAAAGTATGATATAAAATTATAGAAATTGTTTTTAAAATACCTAAGAGAATTTTTCCTGTATGCTAACATGCTAACTAGGGATATGTTCAGAGATAAGATTACAAATGAAGTTTCCTTTGTTTTCAAATTTAAAAGAATGCCTTTGTAACCTTTTTTCACTCTGAAATTATCAAAGCCATCAAACTTACTTTTTTATTTAAAATAATTCCTGGGTAACCCTGACTCAGGCTTAGATCAAGGTAAATAAGGAGATGGTATATTAGGGTTCTCAAAGTGGAACTGTGGAGAAAGGAGCAAGCCAACTAACTAGATCTTCACATCTCCCACTGTTCAGAGGAAATGAAAGCAAAAATCCCAAAGACAGGTTGGTTTGTAAAGGGATGAAAGACATTTACATCTTTCACTACTTTGTAAAGAAAAGGATTAGAAAACTGAATCAGATCTTTTTAAAAGAATTAAAGGTGTGAAAATGACTTGCTATTTTAAATGCTTCATCTTGCTAATTTTTTTCATTTATAGATTCATGATGTTGCTATCTAAAGTTGAGAAATCATCAGAAGAAATCATGGAAATAATGCAAAATTTAAGCAGTATACAGGTTAGCTTTTTTTTTTTTAATTTATAAATAAAATAAGTTTTATTTATTTATTCATGAGAGACACAGAGAGAGAGGTAGAGACACAGGCAGACGGAGAAACAGGCTCCATGCAGGGAGCCTGACATGGGACTCGATCCCAGGTCTCCAAGATCACGCCCCGGGCCAAAGGCAGCGCTAAACCGCTGAGCCACCAGGGCTGCCCAGGTTAACTTTCTTTTTTCCTTTGGGGCGTATAATTTTTCATATGTCTACTACTTCATTTGAAAAAAGAAAATAGGAAAGAAGCCCCAGATTGGAGAATCCAATCCAGGAAAGAATTTTCAGGGAATATGTCTATTTTACTTTTCACGAGAATTTCTTTTCTTATATGAATACTAACCATAATCTTTTAGTAATATCTGGCTTTTTCACATTTTAAAGTTTGCAGTGTTGACCTGCCAGCAAAAGTTAAATTTCTTACCACAGAGTTTAAGTTTTTCAGATGAAAGGAACAGTAATGAAAGGAACATTACTGATAACTAGACTTACCAGTAATGCTCTATATGTAGAGAACTTAACTCATTTAAGATGTCTTTCTTTTAGGCTTTGGAGGGCAGTAGAGAGCTTGAAAATATCCTTGGGATCTCCTGTGCATCCTGTTTCTTACAAAGAGAAATGCGGAAAATGAAAAAACTAAGTAAGAAAAATTCATGGGTTTTCAGTGGCATCTCTCTGATTCCTTATTTCTAAACATTAGAATATATCTAATGTTTTCAGTTTTAGAGATAAACTCAATAATCTTTCCCAAATTTAAATCTGATAGACTTTTTTATATATGGCACTACTGGACATGTAATGGAAATCTTATTTAAAGAATAAGAAGCTGGGCAGCCCCGATGGCCCAGCGGTTTAGCGCCACCTTCGGCCTGGGTTATGATCCTGAAGACCCGTGATCGAGTCCCATGTCGGGCTCCCTGCATGGAGTCTGCTTCTCCCTCTGCCTGTGTCTCTGCCTCTCTCTCTCTCTCTCTCTCTCTCTCTCTCTCTCTCTCTGTGTCTGTCATGAATAAGTAAATAAAATCTTTAAAAAAAAATTATAGGGATCCCTGGGTGGCTCTGTGGTTTAGCACCTGCCTTTGGCCCGGGGTGTGATCCTGAAGACCCGGGATCAAGTCCCACGTCAGGCTTCCTGCATGGAGCCTGCTTCTCCCTCTGCCTTTGTCTCTGCCTCCCTCTCTCTCTGTCTGTCTCTCGTGGATAAATAAATAAAATCTTAAAAGAAAAAAAATTATAAGAAGCATATATCTTTTCCCAGGATATGTTACTTCGGGGATTCTTGTTGAATATGAAGGAAAAGAATATGCCTTCAGCCTGATAATCAGGCTTTTTAAAAATCTGGTGCTTATTCTTTAAATAAGATAAAATAAGGTATTACATTTTGTACTTTATACCTATTATGTATTACTTCAAATTATCTTTTTCTCATGAAGTTATCCAAGGATGAGAAATTATTCATATTCTATGCTAAATCTTAACATGAGTATTTTTGTTTTTGTTCTTTTAGTGATAAAAGTAACAGAACAAAAACTGTTTGAAAAGAAGTGTTCAGAATTTTCCAACAAAGGTAAAGAGTTGTGTTTTCATTTATATTAAAAGATCCTTTCATCTCATTTCGCCAATCATCATGAGTCCTTTTTTACTGTGGTCTTTTTAAAAGATAATAAATCTCATTTGAAAACCTTATACTGAATTTGGCAGGCCATGTCTGATAAGATAACTTCTCTGATTATTAAACTTTTAAAATATGTTTTGAAATACAATTTTCAGTTTAAGATTTAGATTTTGTCTTTTTATTAAAAGTTCTTCTTGAGCATACAGACAAATAGGAACAAGCATTAATATATAGCAACTTTTTTAATGGTGAATTAGGATTACACAAAGCATAAAAAGTTACTTTGTAACCAGCGTTTTGAAAACTTTCAGATCATTAATGATGTTTGATCTACTGTGAACTCATATGCCTCTGAGCATTTCACAGCATGGGAAACTAAATTAGCAGGCTTCCCATAACACATGCACGTCCATACCTCAGTAAGCAAAATGATCATGGACTATAAAATATTAAAACCTTTAGACCAACTTAAGAGGGATCATTTTAATATTACTGACATAAATGCCATTTTGCAATCTCTGCAAGTGGAACTAGGCCTTTAAGCGGGTAGCTATGTTTTAGTCTACCATTTTTGAATACCAATGACTACCAATTATTGAGGACCAGTAATTCTAAGTTCCCAACACTAGGATCAGCAGATCTTTACCTCTACTCTGCACGATATCTATTATCACTGTCATTATAGATAAGGAACAAAAACAAAAAATGTTAAGTAACGTACCCAAACACACTATTTTTTTTTATTTTTTTTTAATTTTTTTATTATTTTTTTTATGATAGTCACAGAGAGAGAGAGAGAGGCAGAGACACAGGCAGAGGGAAAAGCAGGCTCCATGCAGGGAGCCCAACATGGGACTTGATCCTGGGTCTCCAGGATCACACCATGGGCTGAAGGCAGTGCTAAACCGCTGAGCCACCCAGGCTGCCCAACACACTGCTATTTAAATGTCAGAGCAGGAATTCCAACTAAAGACCAGTCAAACCTCAAAAAAGTATGCTTTTTTTCCATTGTTCCATGTTGCCTCTTCCTACAACAAATGAAATCACTTAGTCAACCCAGCTTTTAGATTCAAATGAGGCATAACTGAAACCACTTCAACCAATCTAGTATATTGGATTATATTTAGGATCTTTAACAAGCCAGTGATGAGTTTGCATGGAAAGTACTAGGATTCCCTGTTATTTCCAAAGGCCACCTGGTAATATAGGGCAATAGCCCTGGCAGGACTCCTCCAAAGCTCATGAAGGAAGAGAGCTGAGCAGGTTTCCCGAACCATTCAATGGAGCAGAGTTAACTTCCACTGTGATCCCAAGAATTTAAGAATATGAAGTTAGCTCTTAGAAAAGGCTTAAGACCTCTTCTTTCCTATACTGTGAAACTTGATTATAATGTGTAGCTGGATTTCAGTGGTTTCAGTTTCTTTTTCCTTGAGAAGTTTTAGAGGATCATAAATGGGAAATTGGATTGTTGATTATTTCCCAACCAGAGGAAATCTATATATTATGTGCCAATGGTGTGGATTTTTTTCAATCTGTAACTTCCTAGAAGTGACCAGAATTAGGCTTTACAGAGTTGGCTTTCACCAATTTTTGAGAAATGAGGAAGGGAAAATTGTAGAATAAATAAGTGAATTGTCACTTTAATATTGGGGAAGAAATTTCCAAAACTATCGTTTCCTTCCCTAAACATTTATTAAGACATTAAAGGTATATTCCATGTATTAAAAGTTATCTCCTTTCAGTTATCTATTATATACCAATTCTTTGTGTGTTTATGCATGACCAGCTTTAAAACTATTTTCTAGGATTTTAGGCATTAAAACTGACTTGCTCATTACCAGGTTTCCCTAAGGACTGAGTGTTTGTTCATGCATAAAGGAGATCCTGTGACTAAATCATGTTTTAAAATTTCTAATAAGGGAACCCTGGGTGGCGCAGTGGTTTGGCGCCTGCCTTTGGCCAGGGTGCGATCCTAGAGACCTGGGATCAAATCCTACGTCGGGCTCCCAGTGCATGGAGCCTGCTTCTCCCTCTGTCTATGTCTCTGCCTCTCTCTCTCTCTCTCTCTCTCTCTCTCTCTGTGTGACTATCATAAATAAATAAATAAAATAAAATAAAATAAAATAAAAAAAAACAAAATTTCTAATAAGCATGATTATTTGTTGTGGCCAAAATGAAAACTGAATTTAAATATATATAAAATATATAATAGCTATAGAAATATATATTAGAATATATGTCATCTTCCATTTGTTTCTTGGCAAGAGCTGAATTAGCTCTTTACATTTCCTGAGGTATTCAGATCTTCATTAGCTTTTCAATTAATATTTTTTTAAAGATTTTTTATTTATTTATTCATGAGAGTCACAGAGAGAGGACAGAGAGGCAGAGACACAGGCAGAGGGAGAAGCAGGCTCCACGCAGGGAGCCTGATGTGGGACTCGATCCCAAGACTCCAGGATCATACCCTGGGCCGAAGGCAGGTGCTAAACCACTGAGCCACCCAGGGATTCCTTCAGTTGATTTTTTTTAAAGTATTGTTGCGTAAAAAATCTTTTGAAACTTATTTCCTTTAAAATTTGAGTGTTTTTACTGAGTGTTTTTTCCTCTTCTCTGTCTAGCTAATGATGCATTTTTTTTATTTTGGTTTTTGATTAAAGATGATGCACATCGACACATTTATATATGTATATATAATTTTTTGCTGAGTTAACAACTTTAAACCCTTTTTATTTGTATATTCATTTTACAAAGATTTAGCTAGTGTTTTTGACATCTCAAACTAATTTGCTTTATACGTTCCTTATTTGGGGATCTAGCCTTTAGCCTTTTATAGAAATTTCTACTTCACTTCTTTCACTATGCTATTATCCATAATTGCTTAAATTTTAAAATATTTGGGGAATCTTGATAATATTAGAAGTTATGTAATGTTAAAAATAACTCCTATAATATATATGGGATTTGTTTTATTAGGTACTTAAAGAAAATAAGAACAAATTACTTTTTTCACTATAAAAAGAATGTCCTTCAGATTATCATAAAATTTTCCTAGAATAGTTAAAATAGACAATATCAGGAAAATTCCAACATTTAGGCTATTGTTGCTCCTTCAGGTCAGCCCCCTGGTTCTGTTTATTTTTCCATGTCACTCCTAGCTAGCTTGTTTAGCATCAGTTGCAGCCTTTATTACAGAGAAGTACAATTGTAAAAATAACATGCTAGTGTTTTAAATAAATAGACATCTGACACATTTTTTAAGGCTTTACAGGGGAAATTAAAACATATACAATAACATGAAAAGGTACACTGAGATTTTCATAGTTTTCAAAAGAACTGGATGTTGCAAATCAGGGGCTGCTTTGATAGAGCATATGAATAAAAGAGGCTCTCCCTTGCTAAATACAAATTTCTTAAAGGAAGGCTTTCTTTCTTTTTTCAGTTACTTAGGAAGTAAGCCTAACTTCATTTTCCTTAATAATATTGGCTTTTTGACTCTTAGAAAAATAATGAGATGAAAGGTCCTTTTTCTGTTACATTTGGATGTGAATTTTCATAATTATTCTTAATTTGTTATGCTGAAGATTTAAAACATGACCATTCAATGGGTTGATACAGATGGAATGTCACATTATCATCACATGGTAAGGCATGAAATTTATTTACTTTCATAATCAGCCTCTACTTAAAACAACTTGATACAAATATTCCTAAGTCAATAGAGGGTATTATATAGCACTTAGTATTTTCATTTTTTCTGGAAATATTAAAAAATACCATCATTGTTTGTCTAAGACCAGTACTTCCAGTAAACAAAATGTTTTTCAAAAGAATGTAAGCAAATTGTAGAACAGTTGCCAAGATATGAAATCTAGACACATTAGCTTTAGTCCAAAACATATTTTATCTGTTTTGAGAATAATTGTGTAGGTTGCAGTATGCATATTTGAAATGAAATGTAACCATGTGAACTTTACAATTGTTCAAAAAAGTTGATTGTCTCAGCTGTTTGTAATACAAAATATTTCAGAATTTCTAGCCATGGCCTTCAGAAGAAAAGTGCAAGCTATAACGTTTGTTTTCTTTAGCTAACTTACTGTCTTACATTATTAAATTCATCTGGGTTATAGGATTTTAAAGTTTTCGAATTCTTGGACTACAGGACAAATTTTAAGCTCTTTCTGTTCTGACTATGAAATAGTTTGATACTGCCTTTTCATTCTAACCACCCACAGAAGTATTTTTTAATTTAAAGATATGTTGTTCTTTCCCTCACTCAGGCTTGAAAATGTATTTATCATATCAGCCAAATAATTTTACTCCCTAGAAGACTACTGTCCTTTTAGTTTTTTATACCCTCACATTAAACAGTATCTTTTTTCAAATAAATACTTCAGTCTTAAAAGCACTAAAGTTTGAAGTGTAGACATGATGCGTTTTAGAAGAAACAAAAATTCCTTCCTGTGCCTTCATGTTCTTGGTTTATCTGAAGATAAAAAATGGAGATATTAGTTTTGGTGACACAAATCTACATAATGTACAATTGTAGTCCTAGCTCTTTATCAGAATTCTCCTGTCATGTTGTACTTGGTTCATATCTTTCCTATTAATAATGTTAATGCCCTTGTCTTACACTATTCATCACTGTTTTGGGGATACATTTTGACTGCTTACTTGAGATTTGTCTACGATTTAAGGAAAAGCAAATTGATTTATTACTTTTCAAAGCCTTTTAAATAATTTCTTCCATGATTCAAATTTTTGTATACTTCTTTAGAAGTATGATAGTTTTTATCTTTTAAATAACCAGTAAAAAAAATTTAACCGTAGATTTGAACTCACTTAATAGCAATTATATGTTTAAGAGGTGTAAATAACTTGCTATCAGACATTACGAATATCCAGGTGCTCTGTATGTGCTGATGACAACAAAATTGAAACGAAAGACTGTAATAATTCTGACTGGTTTTCTCTGCAGAAGATATTGATTATTTGTGTGTGGTGAGAGATTTGGAAAATTCAATTAAAGGAGTTGTGCAAAGGTTTCATAAATTTTCCTTCTACAGCATGTACACAGACATTGTTGCGTATTAAATCAATGCAGCACTTCACAATATATTTTCTTTGAAACATAAAAATAAATAACATTTAAACAGTTCTGCTTACTACAGAAACAAATTTTATTTTCTGTGAAGCATTTAGTCATGTGCTATCACTGACTCATACACATTTGCCAGCTGTAACAAATTTTATAGACATTTTCTCCAGAGACATATCTCACATACTATGAATTTTTAAATGAGCAAATGGTGAAGAAGGGATGTCAGCAATATAAAAATTGATCAGTTAAAAGATAAAAGCATAAGTAAAGAGATTTGTATGGTAGTCTTAATAGGTTTTATTAAATAAAAATACTATAAAAAGACAGTAATGAACAGACTGAAGACTAACCGTTCTTGAGATGGAGAAAAATTATTCTGGCACATTTAGTAGAAATTGGTTTTATGTCACCTGACAGGTGAACATTTTTTTTCCCTGTTTTAACTCTTAGAGAGAGTAGTCAAAAATCTCTTCAAAAAAAGACTTAGATAAATTTTCTAAGTGGCTTATGTATTAAACACACACATAGAATGATAAAGCAGATATTTATAGTGTTATATAGATAATTATATAGTTAAAAGCAAGACTTCTGTAAAAAGTATTGGGTGAATTTTTCCTCCAGCTCAGACTTATACAAGAGGAAAAGAAGCATTTTTTAATTTATACTGTTCATACCATATGCTTCAGCTCTCTGGAATCTCTCTTTGTGAACTCCAGGCCTCTCTACTGTTTCTCTCTCTACCTGGATTGCTCTTTCTTCCTTCTCTGTCTAGCAGATTCCTCATTCTTTAAGAACAGCTTCAGCTCTCTGGAATCTCTCTCTTTGTGAACTCCAGGCCTCTCTACTGTTTCTCTCTCTACCTGGATTGCTCTTTCTTCCTTCTCTGTCTAGCAGATTCCTCATTCTTTAAGAACAGCCTCAGATGTCACATCTTTTATGAAACTCTCCCCAACTTGCCTAGGTAAAGTTAAATTGCTTTTTCTTCTGGCCTTCTACAACACTTGTCTGAATGTTTATAAATGTATTATGTTGTAGAGTTGTAGTGTATTGTAATTGTCCGATTATATGGCTCCTCCTGAGCTCCTCCTTGGCAAACAAAAGTCGTATCTCTATAGTATAGCCCCAGAGCCTAGTATAGAACCTGATAGAAGGTCCACAGTGCATGTTCAGTGAAAAAATAAAGACAAATGCAATAAGAATTTTTTAAAGGAATTTAAATATTTTCAAATACTTATAAATTACTATCTCCTTACATGCCTCATCCATTCAATACTTACTGCATGCCTACTATGAGCCAGGCACTGTTCTAGCACTGGGGATACGGTAATGACCAAGGCAGACATAGTCCTGCCCTCATGATTATAGAATCTGTCACAAAAGACAAATAATTATAATAAAGCATAACCACATAATAATCATAATCATTATATTAATAAGTTTTGGGGCACTTTTTATCCTAAATTCTTAAATGTACATTCTGAAACAGAATTGGGCAAATCAGTAAAATGTTGAAATGAGAATTTATAACCCTGAAGCTGTTTATAATGTAAAAAAAACTTTATGTTTGGGTTCTTTAATTTCATTTGATTCAGCATTTATTCTGTATCACATATTGTGACAACTTACTTTGAAATGTTTTCTGAAAAACTTTTTTCTTACAGAATTGCATCATCTTGACAGCTATGAATTCCTTAAAGGCATTTTAAACTGAGGTAGGGTTTCACCTTTCTAACTAAGGTTATTAGCCTTGTGAAATTTCACTGTTTTGTTCAGATGGAAACATTTTACTTATATTATCAAATTTGGTATTGTGTGTCTATGAAGAAAATAGGGACATGAGCTTTGGAAGTGTTTTTGAAATTATATTGAATTTATTTTTATAAATTGTAAGAGGACAATCTGACAGGATGTGCGAGTTAGAAGCTGATTGAAAAGAACTGTTGAGCCTAGCTTTAAAAGTCAAGTGCATATTTTTAGGTTAGTATTTAGAGGGCTCTTAATTTAGCATCTTTATTTTTTTTTTTAAGATTTTATTTATTTATTCATGAGAGACACAGAGAGAGAGGCAGAGACATAGGCAGGGGGAAAAGCAGGCTCCATCCAGGGAGCCTGATGTGGGACTCAATCCTGGGACTCCAGGATCACACCCTGGGCCGAAGGTGATGTATTTATTTAATTAAATAAAATATTAAAAAAAAAAAAAAACTAGCCTATCCCAGACTTAGTGGCATCAATATTAAATAAGATTCTTAGAAGCTAACTAGATGTTGCCTACTATCTCTTAGGAAAAATTAATGCAAAATAAATTCTGTAGTGAAAATACATTTCTTTGGAAATTGTATTTCAGGGAACCCTGGGTGGTGCAGCGGTTTAGCACCTGCCTTTGGCCCAGGGCGCGATCCTGGAGACCCGGGATCGAATCCCACGTCGGGCTCCTGGTGCATGGAGCCTGCTTCTCCCTCTGCCTATGTCTGCCCCCCTCTCTCTCTCTCTGTGTGACTATCATAAATAAATAAAAATTAAAAAATTTTAAAAAAAAGGAAATTGTATTTCAAATGATTAGTATTAGCTTCCTAACTTTAAAAAATATTTGCAAAATATATGCAAAATTGTGTCACTTTCCTTCACTAAAATGTTTATTCTGTTGTATGTAACAAATAATAGTTTTGGTTTTTTTTAAGATTTATTTATTTATTCATGAGAAACAGAGAGAGAGAGGCAGAGACACAGGCAGAGGGAGAAGCAGGCTCCCCGCAGGGAAGCTCCATGCAGGACTCCATCCTGGTTCCCAGGGTCACACCCTGAGCCAAAGGCGGACACTCAACCACTGAGCCACTCAGGTATCCACAAACTATAGTTTGTAAAAATAGCTGACATTCATTAAGCACTGTCAATATGCCAGGTACTATTGTAAGTACCTTATACATATTCCATTTAACCTTTTCAGCAATTTACATGACATAACAATTATCGCCTTTATTTTATAGTTGAGGAAATAAGTACAAAGAGGTTAATAACCTTGTCCTAGAATGATCTAAGAGTCAAAGCCAGGATACTAAGCTGAGTAGGCTGGCACCAGAATCTTTGCTTTGCCCAGTCACAATAGTAAACTACGATTGTCAGATGTCACTACTGGTCAAAGGTTTTAGATCCTGTTAAATAGTAAGGATCTAATATATATGCATATACATATGTACTCATTATAGGTTAAACATTTTATACAATTTCTGGCCCATGGCAATCCAACAGATAACTGTTAGATGGCGATCCTAAATACATAGTTACAGTTATACATCTGGCAAATAACATACATATTGAGTATTTGATGGTCTCATTTGAACTTTGGGGAACTTAAAGTACTGAGAATAGCTTTGTGCTCCTGGATCCTAATAAAGACTAGAACATTAGGGGTGATCTTCTGAGTCTTTAATATGAATAGTATTTAACAAAAAAACTTTCAAGAATGAAGGTTGTCCTGCCACTCAACTTCCCATTTAGTGGGAAATATTGGAGAGAAATAACAATGAAATGAAACTGGACTTTACCTTTGAGGCATTTTCCTTGGTTCTTTTGACTTTTCTTCTTACTTTGGCACTTTCTTCATAATCTTACCCTACCCATTCCTTGACTTTAGTTCTCACCTTAATGCAGCTTATGGCTTCCGAATCGATTTTGACCATCTTTCTGAGGTATAAACTCACAACTCAGCTGCCATATGTTTTGCCCCAAGTGTGCTGATTTCATCATCCCCCCCCAAAAAAAAAAATTCTTTCTCATTTGCCTTTTTAGGGATTACATGAATCCAGTGATAAGACTCAAAACCTCAAAATTCTGTCCTTCTTTGTGCCCTCATATGCAACTGCTGCCAGGCCAGATCACTTCTAAAAATGTTTACCTCTTCTTTCCATGCCCCCTGTACTAGGTTATTCCTTCATGACCTCTCATCCAGATTATCCTCCCCATTGTAATCTGCCTCTCTGCCCCCTTGGTCCCTTTCCCCTACAGCCTGTCCTGCTACTTGAAAAGTTATGCCTAAGAAGATACCACTCTGCCATATTCACAGTAAAATCCAAATTTCTATTGCATTCAGCACTCTCTGTAATGTGACCACAGCTTACCTTGTCCTGGTGCCTCAGTCACTCCAGATGATGTGCCATTCTTCAGACACATTCCTCAGAGAGAACATTTCTCATTCCTTTATCTTTGTTCTTGTCTCTCCTCTGCTTGACATGCTTTCTTGACATGTTTCATTATCAAAACTTTACCCATCTTTCAAAACCTGCTTATAAATCACCTTACAGTAGGCTTTCTCAGATCCCTCTTTTCCATGTTGTCTCGTTCCTTTTTTATGCATTTGTCATAGCTGCCCAACTGGTATGACTAAGCGAGGGTATTAAATTCTGATTTTGTCCCGTGCCTTAGAAACTTCTGACTGGCGCAGTACTCCTGATGCCATTGTGGCCAACTCCCCTGTCTGCACATCAAGTCCTGCCCCGTCTCACACTTATGTGATTACTCCACCTGATATTTATTGTTCAGTGGGGGAAATAACCCATACAAATTCACTCCCAGAGCCTTTAACAAGCAAAGCCTTTATAAAATAATGTTACAATAAGAGAGACAGCTACCTATGGATCACAGACTTAGACAGTAGCAGTACAAAGACCAGCAAAGGGGTGGGGGAGCATGATTTGGGCTAATATTAACAGAGGACACTGCAGGAGATATTGGGATAATTTATCTAGAAATAACTGGATAAATCACTGGGTAAACAAAAGTAGAGGCTTAGTATAAACAGAACACTTGGGCAGCCCCGATCGCCCAGCGGTTTGGCGCCGCCTTCAGCCTTGGGGTATGATCCTGTAGACCCAGGATCGAATCCCACGTCGGGCTCCTGGTGCATGGAGCCTGCTTCTCCCTCTGTGTCTCTGCTTCTCTCTCTCTCTCTTTCTCTTTCTGTGTCTGTCATGAATAAATAAAATCTTAAAAAAAAATAGAGCACTTGCATAATGCCAACCTTCTAAAACCTAGTTGATTAATCAAGCTAAAGATACAAGATTTATATTATATACACAAAACAATAATATAAGCCAAGCTGTGATAAGCAATACAAGTTCAGACCCACTTCTTTCCAGGATTCTGGCCAATAGCAAGCACAAAAAGGGATTATGAGTCCATTGAGAATCAAAGTATCAACTTTATTAGTGGAGGAATTGATAACCTCAACATGGCAGGCCCTCTGATAGAAGATTAGGGTAACTAATGTGGAGTGTGCCTAAGACAGAAGTGGAACCCCCTCTCCCATACTGAGTCTAAATCTTGAACGCTGTGAATCCCAATCTTGAACCTGAGGAGAAAGCTGTATCTTTGAAGTAGACCCCATGTCCATGTGCCTCTACAATGCAAAGACCACAGACATACCTATGCTTGATTGCAGATGAGATCAATAGAATGGGCTGGTATCCTTACAGGATGAAATTAGGAAGCACAAAGACCCAATGGACTTGAGAGGAGACAGTGAAAGGGAAACTGAATAGTGGGAAAGAGGTATAAGAGTGACATATGGGGATCCTTGGGTGGCTCAGCAGTTTAGCCCCTGCCCTCAGACCAGGGGGTGATCCTGGAGTCCCAGGATCGAGTCCCACATCGGGCTCCCTCCAGGGAGTCTGCTTCTCCCTCTGCCCTGCCCCTCCCACCCCCCGCCGCCGTGTGTCTCTCATGAATAAATAAATAAAATCTTTAGGAAAAAAAAAGTAACATGTATTATTACTAGTGAAATGTGGATTGATGTTCTGGACTTTGGCCAATCAAGTTTGTCACTCTTCCATAGGGTATAGAGAGCAGAAGAGCTGACAGTTCCTTCCTCTTTAGACTAAGGATTATAAACCTTCCTTTCTAAGAACCAAGTGAAGAATAAGCAATAGTATACGAATACACAACAAACATCGATCACCTCAGGATGGAGTGATTAGGTCATTATTTAAGAGTTCATGATTTTAAAATCAATTCTAGTTATTCCACTCTACATTATCTCTGACAGAGGACCGTCTGGACCCTAGTAGTGGAAACTCTGTACTTTACTAGGAAGCCTGAATTTGAGAAATGGGTCATTTTGATGGGCTGCATAAACATAATAGAATAACATGAATAAAAAAGGCAGAATAGTAGAATGACTGAACAATAGTAGGTTGGACCACGTCATTGATAGTTATGATCACCAGGCTTAATAGGTTCAGACTTTATTCATTAGGCAAAAGTAGACCAGTGAAGATTATTAGGGAAGTAACAATCCAAAATATGTCTTAGAAAGAATATAATTGCTATGTGAAGGATAATTCCTGTCAAAATACTGCTCATGAACTGCATCACTATATCTAAATTGCTTTTCATTTGTGTTCTGAGATATTCATCTCCAGAACCAGTAGGGCAGTGTAGAGATAATATTAATGCTACTGTAGTCTTGTGTTGTGACATAGTGTATTATCACATTGAACACAGTTATTTGTTTTTGCTGGATCCTGAATTTGGCCTCAGAATCTTTCTCAACACTTCTAGCAGCCCTGATCAACTTGTAAAACTCCTTTGCATGGTCTGGCATTGTAACAGAGGACAGGATTTGGATTACATGTCTAGCACCAGTTCTGCTACCTACTTAGCTCTGTGGCCTTAATAAGGCACTTGGCTCCCCTAAACCTTAACTATAAAATGGGACTGATCCTTACCTTGTGGGATTCTACAAGATAAGCTTAACTAGCACCTCCCCCACAGTAACTATTTAATGATAGTCTTACTTTTCTGTATAGTATTGTCATTAGTTCTGATAACTCTGGATCGGTGACCTCTAGGGATATCAAGTGAACACTAGAGTGCTTAAAATCTCCTCTAGGAATTCAGACCAGGCTCAACTTGGCAAGAGATGGTGGTGGTCAAGTTGGCAACCTACCTCCTGGGACAAAGAATATATGTGGATTCTCATGAATAGGGAAATATAGGAGCCTACCATCTTACTTCTTAATAGCTGCAAACATAAGCATGGAAGGGGTATTTCAGGAGTGAAAGGTCCAGATGCCCTATGGGAAACATGCCATCACTTGCCAGTGGCTGCTTGGGGGCGGGGAGGTTTCCTCACCCAGAGGTCCTGAGCCAAACGGCAAGAACGTCTGCCACCACTGGGAGGCACCCGAGGGACATGCTCTGAATAGGAATGCCAGTAACTACGGTCTCTTTTTTTGGGGGGCAGCTGTTGGAGGAAACACCTGCTGAAAGGCCCTTAAGGCTTATAGACCAAAGGCATGTAGATTTTGGTGTTTTCAGCAAGTGGGTCATGTAGGAGTTTCAGAGATCTCTCAGAAGTATCCCAAGACCGATCTTCAAAGTGGAGAGTGCAATGTCTGAGTAACCCTATTGACAGTTATTTATGAAGATGAATCTCGTTAGAAGACCCAAAAATGAACAAATGAGACTGCCAGTATCTCCTCTAGGTGCCAGATCACATGGTAATGGGTGCTTGAACCATGGAAGTAATGCATGAGAGGCATGTTAATTTGGAAACTAGTTCTTGATCTAATAACCGTCCTATTTATCCTGCAGGCATTAGAAGAAATGTGCCCACTCTGAACACCAACTTCGTCTGCATCTGCCTGACCGTATTTAAAGGAGCAGAAACGTCTGTAATTAATCTGCCCAGTAAATACCAGATCAGAGCACTAGGCAGGTGTGTGTCTAGATAAAATTTCTTGCAGCTAATTTAAACTTTCTACACACACCAGTGGATAATCTCAATGTAAATAATACATTTCTCCTGGACCCTTTAATGTGAGCCAACATGCTGGAGAGGATATTAACTTCTGCTCTCTATGACATACACGTCTGTGTACTTTTAGCTTTTATAGATAGATTTGAAGCATTTATGAAAAGAGCACCTTTGGTAAAAGTGTAGGTTTTAAGACTCAGATTAAATTTAATGAGTAGAAGTAGGTACCACTTTCCCATTGAAAGCCCCAGATGCATATTAGATTCTTTTTAAACTTTTTAAATTTTTCTATGAGTTTATTATGTAGCCACTATCTCAGGATGAGTTTTTCTACTCTACCTATTTCTATGCTAGTGTAGAAAAACTATTTTCAAAGTTTTAAAATTGTCACACCTTCTTTTATAAAATAGTGGAATGCATTTTTCGGTACAAATATATTTTTAAGTAGGAAGTTATTCTTAAACTGAACTACACAGACTCTACTGAATTTAAAGAGATCTTTCTTATGGGTCAGTATGTGATCCCCTCAAAATTATTTTGAAGCATTAAGTTTCTATTTTTCTATGGTGTTCTTTTGTATCATCCTTGCAGCGTCACAAAATAAAAGGGAGGAGGGACTCACAGGATGTGTTATAACTTGGGTAACATGGTTTTTTAAAACCTCTATTTTTCTTTGATTATCTCTACAAGGGAAAAAGTGCCATTCCCTTGGTACTTGCCCTAAGTCTTGATAAAATTTGTATAATCCGGTATCATGTAAATAAAAATACTATATGAAAATCTGAAACAAAATTTAAGTTTGAAAAATAACTGATTTTCCAGTTAGAGAAATTTCAGATTTACCTCTTAAAATGAAAATGAGTTTTTAAAAACTATTAAATGACTTAGATACTAAATAGTAACCCAATTAACTATTAAATTGAATTCCCTTCACTAATGATTTTATTGGTACTACGTAAGATTTTAAAGATAATCTAACAAATATTAAGAACACTTTGTGATACACAGTCCTTATAATAGGACATTACCTAAAATATACCAAAATGATAATTCCTTTGTATTCTAGCATTCCTTTGTGTGAAAACTAACCTTAGGATGTAAGCCAAAGCATATAAACTTGTATTAGTCAGGAAATAAAGGGTTAAGAAGTAGATTGGTTGCATATGTAATGCAACTTATGTACGTATGTGCTTAATACTATTAAGTCAGTTACTGTATGTTTGACCTCTTGATACACTAAGCTTTTGCCTTTCAGAACAGCTGGGTCTGCTAAGAATCATTTCCCAGTTCTCTTCATTGTAGATCAGATGACTCTCGCTTTATCACCCTTGGAGGCCACATGAAGGACAAAGCAGAAAGATCCACACACAAAACTAATGTTTATATGGGGGAAGGGGGGGATACACGTGGCCCTGATCTTCCAATGAACATAACAGAAGAGAGACCAATTGAGACTTGAAACCCTTGTGTTACTCTAACCATTAGTTACATCCTATCCGTCTTTTACTCTTTCTGAACAGAGAGGCTCCTTTGGCTGTCTTGACTTTTGTAAATGTTTCACTCACTTAGTTGTGGTTTATCATTTGGACAGAATGCTACATCTGGGATTTTTCTCCCCTCTTTAAGGCCTCAAGGGAAAATGGCTTCATATTTGATACATGAACATACACCCTGTTCTCTTCATTTTAAGAAGCAAACCTAAGTTTATTGGTATCAGAAAACTACATTTCTCAGAAACGACCCTTCCCTCTAAAATAAACTTGAAAATCACTTAGAAGGGTTCATTTTTTGGCAGGTATATTCATGAAGTAAGTGAGAAATTTTAACATTTTTGCATTATCTAAATATCTTTATATTAAAATATCCCAATAACCCTGACTGTCTGAGAGAAGTACTTGGGATTGCCAATATCTGTGATCTTAATTCATCAGACATTTTTGGTATTTTGGAACCTAATCCCTCAAAGTGGACTCTTCTTAAATTGGTTACTAATAGATACAAGATATTTGACTTAAAATTGCTACAAATCTCCATAAAAGCTGCAGTGTTACTCAATATGATTAAATTATCTGGGAAAATGTGTATTTCCCTATATATAGGATTTACCTACGAGATACTTTGAATATGGGTGCATTCTATTTTATTAATATTTACATAATACTTTGATTTTCAAACAATGCTTCTCTGCTCCAGCTTTTCAGAAGTTAGAACTTCCTCATCACTGATTTAAATCAATATCCTGTGTTAAACCCATATATGCTATTACAAAAAATAAAAAATAAAAAAAAATAGGACTATACCAGCCAGCCAAGATGCTGACATTTGGGCACAGTGATTACAGATGGTGACCATGGACAGCAATGTTCCTGCTGATTCGGCAGTGATTCAAGGCTGCTTTTCTGTGCTGACCTGCCCTTTGAGTCTTTATGCACATCTGCTTTGAGAAAGAATACTTCCTGGTTTTTGCTTCGTCTAAACCTACTTCCTTTATCAGACTTAGAAGCATATACTTTCTTGCAGCCTGTGGCTTTCCACGTCTAGAACCAAATTTTTTTTACGTATATGTGTTCATTGTTTTAAAACAGATCACCGCTTAGTCAATACACCTTGATGTCTTATGAAAGAAGTATATTCATTAAAAACATAGGCTGATGTGAAAATAATTGTTTTATTCTTATCACAGAGACTAAAAGAACACGTTTTTCCCCCCGCCCTCCCGAGAGAACAGTCTTTACATAAGAAGCTATAACATGAATATGATACATTATTTTTACCAATTGAGTATGATAGTAAAGATGAGCTTCTCCTACTATAGAATGATACATTATTAACGGCCAAGTTAACATGAAACATGATATGAAGCAATGCTTATGGAAGTGGTAATCTTTAACCACTCAAAAAAGATCAAAAGGATGATATCTTGTATAAAACTATTTAACTCAAAATGATCCTAGAAGTTTAGAACTAGTGATATGAATAATTTTTTTAAAAAATTACTCCAACCACTTAAGTTCAGTAAAATTCACTCTTTAATTGCATTCAAGTAAATCAGCATTTTTGGAAACAAAGAAGAACATGGTCTAATCTCTACTTTGTTATAAAAGAAATCAAATTTGAGCATGTAATAAGACATGTTCAAACTCCAAGCAGTTTAAATTGCCTTCTCACAATAATTAAAAAGATCATGACAAATTTAATCCCTGAGATATAATTTCTAATGAGTGGAAAATGCACATTATTTGCATCCTAAAATGTAAGGAAAACTAAATTTAAATACCAAAATTAGTAATTTCCTTTAAAAAGAAGGACTTAATTCACCCAGTAAATTCATTGGATTTGCAAAAAAAAATTTTTAAGACAACAAATCATAGAGTACATTTCCTAAATATAAACACTGGGATTAAGGGTAAGCATTTAGATAACTGAATAATAATAAAACTACAATATGTCGTGGCCACTCCATAGTTAGAAAATAAAAGCCTCCACTGGGCTTGGGTCCCCATATACATTAACTTTGTACAGACAACAATGACTTTTTATTAATTTTTTCCCTATAGTTTTGTGATTATCAAAATGATAATTTCATTTATATGTAGCCAAAAAAGTTCAAAACAACTTTAAGCACTGTTAATATTTTCACATCTGTTTGGAGATAGAACTAGTTGATTTTCTTCTGGTTTCTTCCATTTTTGAAATCCCACATGATTATAATGTTAAAGTATACCAAGAAGAACAGGAAGTTCAAGCAGGATACAAAACAAATTAATACAGAAAATAAATCCGGTAATTTCTGAGGAGGTTCCAGTGTGACAGTTATCAGTGTCAGAAGTACCATAGTGATGACTGAGATAAGAAACTACAAGGGAAAAAACATGTTTGAGTACATTAAAGATAAATGCCACACCAACTGAGCTACCCAGGCGCACCCTACCATATTGGGACAGTTTAGCTCTCGACTGAGCTTTAAGACAAAGATCAGCCACATCTTACTCATTTTACCCCTGGCAAAGCACATTGGTACACAGACGCTGCTCAAGTAAATGTAGAAAGCAAGCAGTGAGAAACCATAGTGACTTCCATGAAGGAGGTGGCACATAAATGGAACCCTAAAAGATGTCTTAATGGCTATATTATAACAGGATTTAAAGACCTGAAGAGAGTGATGCAGTGCTCATTCCGGATGGAAGCCTAGGAAAGACAGTAACCAAAAAGGCTCACAAATAGGTATAAACAGGCAGCAAATATCCTCCAAAGGGAGAATCCCTGAATCAACCTTACTGAAAAGTGAAAACTTCTGAAGTGAAATCATCAAATGTAAAGTTTCAAACTTAAGGGCCACCTAGGTGGCTGAGTCATTTAAGCATCTGACTCTTGGTTTTGGCTTAGGTCATGATCTCAGGGTCATGCCTTGCTTCAGGCTCTACACTCAGCATAGAGTCTGCTTGAGATTCTTTCCCCCTTCTTTTCCCTCCCCCTCTGCTCCTCCCCCCACTCTCTCTCACTTAAATAAATAAAACATTTTTTATTTTAAGTTTCAAACTTAAAAAATATGGGACTGGTTGAAATGTCATGACACTATGTTCCTGAATGTTAAAGAGGCATGCTAAAATTCCTCCTGCTTTAAACAAACTCCAGCTATTACCCCATTTGTCTGCTTCCATTTACAGCAAAGTTTCTCAAAGTAGTTGCCTATAACTTAACTGCATCCACTTCTCTTCCTATTCATTAGTGAATCCACACCAATTAGACTTTCACCTTTTCAGTTGTTTCAATGAAACTGCCCTGGCCAAAGATCAATAGTGACCTCTACTGTATTAAATCTAATTGTTATTTCTTGAATTATTTGATTTCTCAACAGCATCTGAAATAGCACATCACTCCCATCTCCTTGAAACATTTCTTTCACTTGACTTCCATAACACCATATTCTTCTGGTTTCTTCCCACCTCAATAGTTAATCCTTCTCAGACAACTTTGCTGGTTCCTCCTCATGTCCCCTACCTCTATGCATTATAGTATCCCAAGGCTCAGTAGTTAGTCATCTTCTGTACTCACACCTTTGGTGGGCTCATTTGGTGATATATATTACCTATATGCCAAAGACTGAAATTACTGTCTCCAGCTTAGGCCTCTTTCCCCCTAAACTCCAGACTCATTCAAATGGATATGTAGTAAGCATCTAAAACTATGAATACCAGCTATCCTTAATAAGATTAGCAGCTGATTTCTTGTCATAAAACACTGAGGCCACAAGGCAGTGGGATGGATGATATTCAAATTGCTGAAAAAGACAATTCTTTTTCAAGCAAAAATACCCTTCAAAAATGAAGGAAAATTAACAGAAAATAGAAATAAGTTTAACATAAGAAGTGCAAGACCTATACACTGAAAAATACAGAACACTGTTGAAGAAAAAGAATATTTAAATAAATGGAAATATGTCTATGTTACTAGATTTGGAAAACTAAGTCTTGTTAAAACAGCAATATTTCACAAATAGATATACAGATTCAAAGCAATCTTTATCAAAGTCTTAGCTGGACTTTTACAGAAACTGACAAGGTGATCCTTGTCAAGGAAACACAATCCTTGAAAATCCACAATGTCCTTGGAAATGCAAGGAAAATAGAATAGCTAAAACAGTCATGAGAAAGAACAAAGTTGGAGAACTCCCATTCTGAGTTTCAAAGCTAACTACAAAGCTACGGTGATCAAAACAGTGTAGCACTGTCAAAATGATTGACACATAGATCAGTGGAATAGAACTGAAAGTCCAGAAACCAATCCTTAACACCTAAGATAAGCTGGTTTTCTTTTTTTTTTAATATTTATTTATTTATTATTTATGATAGAGAGAGAGGCAGAGACACAGGAGGAGGGAGAAGCAGGCTCCATGCCAGGAGCCCGACGCAGGACTCGATCCCGGGACTCCAGGATCGTGCCCTGGCCAAAGGCAGGTGCTAAACCACTGAGCCACCCAGGGATCCCCGTAAGCTGGTTTTCAACAAAGGTACCAACACAATTCATTGGTGCTGGAACAATTGAATAAAGCTGGACTCCTACCTTACACCATATACAAAATTAACTCAAAAGGAATTGACCTAAAGATAAAACTCTTGAAAGAAAAAGGGTAAATCTTCATGACCTTTACACAGTGGCTTCCTATATATGACATCAAAAGCATAGGAGCACCTAGCTGGCTCAGTCAGTAGAACATGCAACTTTTGAACTCGGGGTCATGAGTTCAAATCCCACATTATGCACTGAGGTTACTTTATTCACTTATGTTTTTAAAGATTTTATTTATTTATTCATGAGAGACACAGAGAGGCAGAGACATAGGCAGAGAGAGAAACAGGCTTCCAGCAGGGAGCCCGATGTGGGATTCAATCCTAAAACCCTAGGATCACGCCCCGGGCCAAAGGCAGACACTCAACCATTCAGCCACCCAGGTATCCCATTGAGGTTACTTTAAAGGAAAAAAAAAAAAAAAGAAAAGCACAAACAACAAAAGAAATAGGTATATTGGACTTCATAAAAATTAAAAAAAAAAAAAAAAAAAAAACTTCCATGCTGCAAACACCACCATTAAGAAAGTGAGGGAAATCTACAGAATAGGAGAAATGTTTCCAAGTCACGTTTCTAGTAAGGGACTTGTATCAAGAATGTATGAAGAACTCTTATAACTCAAAAATGAAAAGACAACCTAATTAAAAATGGGCAAAGAATTTGAATAGGCATTTCTCCATAGAAAATATACAAATAGCCAATGAACACATAAAACTTTGCCCACATCATTGGTAACTAGGAAAATACAAATCAAAACCTCAGTGAGATACAATATCACTCCCATTAGGATGGCTACAATAAAGACAATAACAAAAATGTCAAGAATGTAGACAGGCACCTGGGTGGCTAACTGGCAAGGTATCTGCCTTTGGCTCAGGTCATGATCCCAGAGTCCTGGGATCAAGTCCCGTATCAGGCTCCCTGCTCCACGGGGAGCCTGCTTCTTCTCCCTCTCCCTCTCCCTCTCCATCTGCCTCTGCCTCTGCTTTTGTCTATCTCTCATGAGTAAATAAATAAAATCTTAAAAAAAAAATGTAAAGAAACTGGAATCCTCATATGCTGCTGGTGGGAATGTAGAATCATATAGCACTGTGGCAAGCAGTTGTGCAGTTTTGCAAAATGTTAAAGAGAATTACCACTTCTGAGGATATATTCAAGGGAAATGAAAAAAAAAGTGCTGATAAATTTGTAAACATATCTCCACAGCAGCATTATTCACAGCAGCCAAAAAGTGGGATCGACCTAATGCCCATTAACTGATAAACAGATAAAATGTGGTATATCCATTAAAATAGAATATAGTATGACAATAAAAAAGTGAAGTATTTATTTTTATTTTTATTTTTTTATTTTTTTTTAAGAGTGAAATATTGATGCATGTTACAACACAGATGAACCTCAAAAACATGCTGAGTGAAAGTAACCAGTCACAAAAGACTACTTTGTTTTTTAAAGTAGGCTCCACATCCAGCATGGAGGACAACATGGGACTCAAACCCACAACACTTGAGATCAAGATCTGAGCCCAGATCAAGTGTCAGATGCTCAACTGACTGAGCCACTCAAGCACCCTGACTATATTTTCTATGATTCCATGTTACAGTCTGAATTATGTCCCCACAAAATTCAAGTGTTGTAGCCCCAACCCCCAATGTGACTGCATTTGGAGACAAAAAGTTTAGGAAGGTTAAATTGACGTCATAAGGGTGGGGCCCTAGTTTGATAGGATTAGTATCCTTATAAGAAGAGAAAGAGGGCAGCCCAGGTGGCTCAGCGGTTTAGCACTGCCTTCAGCGCAGGGCCTGATCCTGATCCTGGAGACCCGGGACTGAGTCCCAGTCAGGCTCCCTGCAGGCTTCTCCCTCTGCCTGTGTCTCTCATGAGTAAATAAATAAAACCTTTAAAAAAAATTTAAATTTAAGTTAAAAAAAAAAAACTGAACAACTTATGGCACCTAGGTGGCTCAGTTGGTTAAGCGTCCAACTCTTTGTTTTCGGCTCAGGTCATGATCTTAAGGTTATGAGATCAAGCCCCATATTGGGCTTCTCATCAGGGCATGAAACCTGCTTAAGATTCTCTCTCCCTCTGCCTCTCCTCCCACGCAACTCGCCTCTAAAAACAAAACAAAACTGAACAACTTACCAAATATTGTATAATTCTGGGAAGAAATGTAAAACATGGAAGATATTTCCTAAGAGAAATGGAAAAGGATTTCAAGTGCAGTTCTTCTTCAGAAGTCTTTTCAAATATTGAAAAGGAAATTGCACAAGCTATAAAAAATGCCATTGTTGTCACAACTGAGGGCATTAGGAGTTCATCCTTCAGAAGAAGAGGTAGCATACTGTAAGGGAAAACAGAAAAAACATCAAAAGAGACTTGCTAATTCAAACCATAATCACTGTATAAAAATTTTTAAATAAGCCTATGAGAATTATACTGAAAATATTATATGAATATTGGTTTGACTCACCTAAATGTTGACACAAGTAAAAACCAAGTAGACATAAAAGGAATTTCACTCAAAACTAAGCAGACTGGTCTAAAATGATAAAGAAAGAGTATTTTAATCTTAGAGAACAGAATTTCAATTGAAATTACATATGAAAAATATAAATGCATTTTATCTGTCTAATCTTTAGGTAGCTAAACAAGCAAAGAAAAAACAGCCAGTAAGGTCTCCATATGGATCACTGATTCATTTTTTTAATTCAATCCAAACTAAGTCTAAACATAAACAAGGTATGAACTCCTCCTAATAACTGAAAAACTGCTTCTTCCAATATTCCATTAATGGATTTTTTTTCTGTCATACAAACAGCATACAGAACAGATCAGATAAACAAATTAAAATATTCAGAGAAAGAGCTTTTTCATGTTTCACCCTACTTGGGAAATAAATTAATTCCCAGGATAGTGGTTTCAAACTTCTTTTATGATCCTTCATGTTACATATTACTAATCTAAGTTAAAAAACTAAAGTTATAACAGATAGGATCGTCCTCTGCCACTGAAGTGAAAACAACAGAGACAAAGAAGAATTATAAGAGGAAAAAAGTTGATAATGGTATAAGAGGAAAAACAAGTAGGAAGCAGCTATGTGAAAAGAACAATAATACAGGAAGAGGAAGCATAATGCCAATAAATGGAATGACTGGCTTTATGACCGAGTATAGGGTCATGGGTCCCAACTCTGTGACCTCCTTACTAGCACCCCTAATCTCATTCCATTCTGGATTCTACTGTGGCAATGCTCGGGAAAAGGGGGACCTGAATCCTAGTCCCATCTGTGCCTCTTACTTTATGGCCTTGAACAAATGATTAACCATTTTTCTCAGGTGTAAATGGAAATCGTAATAATAATAATACCTTATATTGTTACATAATTGAAAGCACTCTTTTGCAAGTATTATCTAATTTAATAAGTAACTTTTTAAACCTTTTAAAATAAGGAGACCCAAAATAGTAACAACAATAATAATAGAAACAAGTATTCAACAACTGCCCATCATTACTAAAGGTTTGAACATTCTCCTTTCTTAGGATGACTTTTCCCCATGTCAGCTAGCATATGAAATGTAAAACCTGGGATTACAAACTGAATGAAAACTACTGCAGTAAAAGAAAATACTAGAGGACTTTCAATTTCACTACTTGATTCTTTTTAAATCAGAATTTATGTTAAACACAAGCACATAGTAGGTGCTCAATAAACATTATTTTCTCTTTCTGGGTCTTTTTTTTTTTTTTAAGATTTTATTTATTTGTTCATGAGAGACACACAGAGAGGCAGAGGGAGAAGCAGGCTCCATGCATGGAGCCTGATTCGGGACTCAATCCAGGGATTCCAGGATCACGCCCTGGGCTGAAGGCAGACACTCAACCACTGAGCCACCCAGCCAACCACTCTCTCTTTCTGGGTCTTAACTGTTTCTCATTTATTCTTTCAATATTAATTTACTGAATACGAGCATTTATTGAAAACTTATGTACAACTGCTCTGAAAGAAATACAAAGAGGAATATAACTCAGCCCTTGACCTCAATTCAAGGTACTTAATATTTATATTCAAGCAGCAAAATCCCCTGCATCCTCAACCTCTAACTCTTTCCCTTCATCATCCTGTTGAAAATGAATCCTGGATTCCTTCCCCTGAGGAAAACGCTACCCCTCAGCCCTCTCAACAGGTTTTGTTTCCACAGCCTTGAAAACAGCTTGACCTAGCAGGAGATAACCTCTTTGTGCTTTATCACCTCTTCCACACCAGTTCTCCCTCTCTCCACCCTAACAATCTCCAGGTTTTAATCTCATGTCCTCCGGCTTCATCCCTCTCAATCCTCTCTTTGTTATCATCTACCATCCCCAAGAGTCACTTTCAACTCCGTACTCACTGTCACTTTCTACAACCCTACTCATCTTTATTCCTGGCAATTTTTACATGTAGATGATCTTCCAACACCCTGACTTCTCATTTACTAGAACACCTGTCTTCTAGTGATCTCACCTTCATTCCTACATCTTTGGGTTATACTTGGGATTGCAACCCCTCCATAATCACAATTTAGCAACTGCATCCTGACCTCTATCTCCTACCTTTTCAGCACTCCGGAACTCCAGAAATCTTTTGATCCCATCAAGACCATCCATTATTCCTACTACCTTTTTCACTTTGCCTCACTCCTTTGGTGTCTTTTCCCCTTCTCAGCCAGCTTAAATTCTAAGGTCAACCATTAAAATCACTCCCATGCATTCACTCCCAAGCCCTGAGCAATCCTGTTACCCTCACTAGACAAAACTGCAAACCTGGAAAGACCTCTCCACCTGTACTTATTCCAACCATACTGAACAACTGCTCTTGAAAACATTTACCCACACTGTTTCACTTTGAAGATGTATTTATTTATTTTGAGAGAGAGAATGGGGAGGAGGGGCACAGGGAGAGGGAGAAAGTCTCAAGCAGATTCCCTGCTGAGTGCAGAGGAGCTCAACAACCAGCTCATTTCAACCCTGAGATCAAAACCTGAGCCAAAACAGAGTCAGGCACTTACTTAACCAATTGAGCCACCTAGGCACCCCTGCTTTCACTTTAAATACATGATGATGATATTCAGGGTTCTAACAACTACTATATATTCTCTTAATCTGTTCACATTGTAACTCCTTAGAATAATCCACACCTCATAATCTCATAATCCCAACAGTTCCAACCTACTCTTGCCTAATGACCTTGCCTTCCATTGCATTAAGAAAATTGAAGCAATTAAAAGAACTTTCACAGATGCCACCATCACATCTACTCTATTCCCAGCATCTTTACCAATATACCCTGTTCCTTTTTATTAAAATGAACTTCTCCTGCATCTTTCCAAAGCCAGCCCTTCCAATTTGTGCTGTAATTCCTATCCTATTTCCCTTTCCAAGGGGCAATTGCCCCAACTCTTAACCTCCCTCCTGTATGATCAATGTTCACTCTTTATTGACCATTCCCACACCATTATTTCTCCTATCTTAAAGCAAACCTCAGTTGACTTTTTTAAAGATTTTATTTATTTATTCACGAGTGACAGAGAGAGGCAGAGACAAAGGTAGAGAGAGAAGCAGGCTCCATGCAAGAAGCCCGATGTGGGACTCAATCTGGGGACTCCAGGATCACACCCTGAGCTGAAAGGCAAAACTTAACCGCTTATCCACCCAGGCATCCCTGACTCTACTTTCTCTATCAATTACTGCTCTCCCCTTTTCAGCAAAGCTCACCTGAAGAACTGTCTACCTATCTTACACCATATACAAAAGTTACTCAAAATGGATCAAAGACCTAAATATAAGAGCTAAATCCATAAACTTCTTAGGAATAACATGAGAGTAAGTCTGTATTACCCTGGCTTTGGCAATGATTTGTTAGATACGATACCAAAAGCTCAAGCAACAAAACAAATAATAGATAAACTGAACTTCATCAAAATTAACTTTTGAAAGTTATTAAAATCTTAAAAAAAGCTTAACATCACTAGTTATTAGGGAAATGCAAATCAAAACCACAATGAAATACCAATTCATACCCAGTAGGATGGGGGGGGGAGGAAAAATAACAAGTGCTGGCAAGGATGTAGAAAAACTGGAAACATCATCTATTACATTACTGGTGGAAATGCAAAATGGTATAGCTGCTGTGGAAAAGTTAGATGATTCCTCAATCAGTTAAATAAAGAATTACTATATGACCCAGGAATCTCACTCCTGGGGATAGACTCAAAGAATACTGAAAACAAATGTTCAAACAAAAACTTATGCAGGAATATTCATACTGGCAGTATTGATAAAAACCAAAAGGTAGAAACCCAAATATTCATCAAATGATGCATGGAGGGCAGCCCCGGTGGTGCAGCGGTTTAGTGCCGCCTGTAGCCCAGGGTGTGATCCTGGAGACCCGGGATCGAGTCTCGCGTCAGGCTTCCTGTATGGAGCTTGCTTCTCCCTCTGCCTGTGTCTCTGCCTCTCCCTCTCTCCCTCCTCTGTGTGTGTGTGTCTCTATGAATAAAAAAAAAAAAAAATTCAAATGATGCATGGATGAACAAAATGTAGCATATCCACACAATGCATGGGCATGCATGAGGATGAACCTTGGAAATACTATTTTACATCAAAGAGGTCAGACACAAAAAGCCAAATATTGTATGATTCCAATTACATGAAGTATCCAAAATAGGCAAATCCATAGAGAGAGAAAGTAATTAAGTGGTTACAAGAACTGAAGGATGGGAAAGAGAATGGGGAGTGACTACGTAAAAGGTACAATTTCCTTTGGGGTGATAAAGATGTTCTGGAAGTAGACAGTGGTCAGGGTTGCAAAGCATTGTGAATACTGGTGTATTTTGCCACAATTAAACAAAATGATCTAGACCTATTAAAAGAAAAATTAAAAGAAAATGATCTAGACCTATTTTCAATTTTTCTCTACTCATTAGTTCTCAAATCCACCCTAATCAGGCTTTCCCCTGCATCACTCCATCAACATTAGCCTTGTCAGAGTCACTAGTGACTCCCATTTTGCTAAGGCAAATGGTCTAGTCTCAGACCTCATCTTATTTGAGTGGTGGCATCCAATACAATTGATCACCTCATTTTCTTTTTCCCCTCAGCTTTATTGAGATATAATTGATATATAAAATTATATAAGTTTAATGTATATGACACAATGACTTGATAGAAGCACAATGATTTGATATAGGTATATATAGGCATATAATAATGATTATTGCAATAAGGTTACTAGCACATCATCAATTCAGTTACCTTTCATGTGTGAGCATGCACAGTGAGAATGTTTAAGATCTATTCTCTAAGCAACTTCCGAGTATATACCTGTTAAATATTATTATGTACAGCCATCATGCTGTACATTGGATCCCCAGAGCCTATTCATCTTAAAACTGTAAGTCTGTATCCTTTGACCACCTTGGCCCATTTTCCTCCATTCTCTCCTGCCCAGCAACCACCAATCTACTTTGTTTCTAGGAGTTTCTATGATTTAGATTCCTTATTTATGTGAGGTCACACAGTATTTATCTTTCTCTGTTTGACTTATTTCACTTAGTATAATGCCCTCATGGTTCATCTACATTGCTGCAAATGGCAAGATTTCCTTCTTTTTTATGACTAAATACTATTCCAGAGTATGTGTGAGAGTGTGCGCAGTGTAGTGTTTATCCATTCATCTGTTGATGGGCATTTAGGTGGTTTCCATGCCTTGACTACGGCAAATAATGAACATGGGATGGGGATGCAGATACCTCTTTAGGATCATGATTTCATTCCCTTCAAATATATACCCACATGTGGGATGGCTGATTATATGGCAGTTCTATTTTATTTTTGGAGGAACTTCTATAGTGCTTTCCATAGTTACTATACCAATTTACATTCCCAGCAAGAGTGTACAAGTGTTCCCGTTTCTCCTATACTTACCAGTACTTGTTATCTCTTGTCTTTTTAATAAGAGCCATTTGATAAGAGCCATTCTGTCTGATATGAAGTAATATGTCATGGTGGTTTTAAAGACTTTTTTAAAAAATTCATACAAGACAGAGGCAGACACAGGCAGAGGGAGAAGTAGGCTCCCTGCAGAGACTCCAATGCAGGACTTGGTCCTAAGACCCCAGGATCGCAACCTGAGCCAAAGGCAGACGCTCAACCACTGAGCCACCCAGGTGTCCCTCATTGTGGTTTTGATTTGCATTTTCCTGATGATTAGTGATGTTGAGCACCTTTTCATGTACCTGTTGTATAGCTTCTTTCAGAAAATATCTATTAAGGTCCTTTGCCCATTTTTTTTTTGGTTGTTGAGTTGTATGAATTCCTTATATATTTGGGATATTAACTCCTTATCAGGTATATGGTTTACAAATATTTTTCCCATTCCATAAGTTTCCTATTCATTTTGTTAGTCATTTCTTTTGCTATACAGAAGCTTTTTAGTTTGATGTCACCCCAGTTATTTATTTTTCCTTTTCTTCCTTGTGTTTTTGGTGTCATATCCAAAATATGATTGCTAAGACCAATGTCAGGGAGCTTCTTCACTATGTTTTTATCTAGGAGATTTATGGTTTCAGGTCTTATATTTATGTCTTTAATCCATTTCAAGTTAATTTTTGTGAATGGGGTAAGATAGGTGACATCATGTCCTTATATACCTTCTTCACTCAGGACACCAACTCTCGTGGCTTTTCATCCTGCCTTATTAGCCATTCCTATTTGCCTCTTTTCCTAATACCCCCTAACATTGTGTGGCCCAGGACTCAGTCTCTGGTACTCTTCTCTATATATACTCACTCCCTTGGTGATCTCATTCAGTCCCATGATTTTGTCCTGTCTACTAACAAACTATTAAATTTGTTTCTCCAGCTCAACTCCCCTTAAGAACTCCACTCATGGGCAGCCCGGGTGGCTCAGCAGTTTAGCGCCGCCTTCAGCCCAGGGCATGATCCTGGAGACCCAGGATCGAGTCCCACATCGTGCTCCCTGCATGGAGCCTGCTTCTCTCTCTGCCTGTGTCTCTGCCTCTCTCTCTCTCTCTCTGTCTCTCATGAATAAATATTTTTTAAAAATTTTTAAAAAATAAAAAGAACTCCACTCATATGTCCAATCAGTTGACTCAGTATCTCTGTTTAGATATCCAAAGATCTGTCCAATACTGAACATGGGATCCTCATACCAGGTCCGTATCTAGCCTAATTCTGTTTCACCTGCAGTCTCCCATTTCAGTCAATTGCTATTCTGTCCTTCCAGTTCCAAGCCAGAAATCATGGACACACATTTGATTTTTCTATTACATGTTACACACAAATCATCAGGAAGCCTCCTGGTTCTTTTTTAACATCGACAATGACCACTTCTCACTTCTTCCACTATTAATATCTTGGTCCCAGTACCACCATCTTTCAACTGGATTATGATAACAGCCTTCTAAATGGTCTCCATGTTTTCTTGCCCCATACAATCTATTCTCAACCTGCAGCCAGAATGATCCTTCAATTTTTTTTAACATTTTTGAGGTATAATTAATTTACAAAGAATTGCACATATTTAATGTATATAATTTGATAAGCAGAGTGATCCTTTTAAAACACCAAGTCAGACCATGCTTATTCCCCAGCACCCTTCCATGACTCCCCATTTCCTTTGGAATAAAGCCAAAATTCCTAATGTGACCTACAAGGTCCCATAGAATTTACATGTCTGTTACCTCTTTAACTTCACCTATTATCCCCCACCTTTGACCACTCCGCTCTGGCCACAATGGCCATTCTATTGTTCACTAAACATACCAGGCATACTCTCATCTTAGGGCTTCACAGAGGCTGTTCCATCTAGAATGTTATTATCCCAAATATCCACACAGCTAATTTCCTCAACATCTCCAGTCCACTCAAATATCTCCTCAATGAGGAGTACCTTGACACCTGTATTAAAATTACAACCTATACTTGCTCCTGTACTATCACCTCCAATACTCCCAACTTCCCTAATCCTGTTTTATTTCTTCCTCATGGCCTTTATTACCTTCTAAAACACTATTTACTTTTATCTAATTATTAGTGTCTATCCTTAAGAATGAAAGCTAAGAAAGTAGGAATTTCTGTGTTTTGTTTATAGATATATACCAAGTACACAGAACAGTACCTAGCAAACAACAGGCACTCAATGAATATTTATTGAATGAAATATCTAATGATAGATTAGGTAGGACCAGATCAAGGAAAACTTTTAATGCTGACTTTAAAATATTTTATCAAAATTATATTAAAGCCATGCACTGGGGGCGCCTAGGTTGAGCTCTGCCTTCAGCTCAGGTCATAATCCCAGAGTCCGGGGACTGAGCCCCATGTCTGGCTCCCTGCTTAGTGGCTTAGTGGGGAGCCTCCACTCCCCTGCTTGTGAGCTCTCTCTCTTTCAAATAAATAATTAATTAAAGCCACGCATTGCTATAAATAATCTAAGTAGAGTTGTAGAGTAGGAGCTCCCAGAAATTCAAGGCCCAAGAGCTAATCTGAGTGGTCCTATTACAGGTCATTGAATGGGCTTCCTTAGTATGGGGTAGAAAATCTGGAAAAAATACACAAATTTGAAAGCAAACTTTTCCATAGTTCCATCCCCTGGCATTAGGAATTTGTGGAGGGTCAGCCAAGCTTCACATAATAGTGGTAGCAACTAAATCAGGTTTAGACTTTGGGGGATGAAACTAAGGTGTCCTCCTGGTCTGCAAGGATATGAGACTATTTAGTTCCAAGCAAAGAAGCCTTCCACATAGGCAGCTTACTATAAAGCTCTGCACTGAGTTTTCAGTACAAGACTCCACCTAATAAAAACAATCCTCTCTTCCATTTACCACTGGTTATTCTGTACATGGATCTTCCATAGGAACCTAGCAAACACAAGATAAGGGGTGGGATTAATCTAGGGCAGGATTCAAATATTCCTATGAGTTCCGGGCAAATACTATTTTAATATTGGGATAATATAGCCCCACTGTTACCCAGTTTCTATGACCAGTAAAAAATTGTAATGCTCTTAAAACAAAGTAGTCTAATTAGGGATTGCCAATAGGGTCTGAACAAAGGTTTTGATAAAAGAAACAGAAAGGAGTCAACATATGAAAGCCCCTAAAGAGGTGAATGAAGAGAACAAAATTATTAAATAGATGTGGAAATGAATGAACTGAGAAAGGCAAAGATGTCAAACAGGCTTCAATCTGAGGAAAATCTCTTTGGTTTATTCAATTATTTTATTATCATATAAAAATATATATGAAGAAACAGAAATATGTCAGTAATAATTCTATGAAACTTTCAGCTTAAAATACAATACTTTATAAAGTAAAATTAGAAGAAATCATTCTGGAAAAATAAAATTTTGTGAATAATTTTATGCAACTACATAGTAACATTTGTGTGGTTTTGTTTTTGGACTTAGGTGATTATATGTAGCTAGTAAATTTATGTATATATTATAAACACATAATAATAAATTAACAAAACACATACTTGAAACATTTTTACTTACAATGATACCAAGAGAATAGACTTTTCATGTACTTGGAAAGAAAATAAAAAGAATGACAGTGCACAGCTAACCTTTAAGGAAAGAGGGGGGAGAATGAAATAACAACTTAAAAACTATAATAGCAGTTTAGTTATGAATCTAAATAAAAATCATCTTAAGTAAAATTTTAAAGCTTAATATATTTTGTATCTAGAAGGAAAATCATGTACTAATATACATAATATTTTACATAATACATAATATGTACTAATATACATAATATTTTATTCAAATATAGTAAAACATTACTTGAAAAATAATGATTATAAAGCTATACTTAACTATCTAAAACAAGTTCATTCAGACTCAATTATTAATAAACAAAACTACTAAACACTTCAGACATAACAATCGGACCTTCATCCTTCCTTGGAATCTTGGACAACTTAAAAAGCACTGAAGAAGAAGGTCAAAATATAAAACTGTCAAAACAAATCTATTTTAATGTTCTTAAATGTACATTTCAGTAAAATATATTAAATGTTTTATAAAGTAATCACCTGCTATTTGGGATTTAAAATGAAAATGACTTAGATCTATTTTCAGAGGTTTATTATGATCTGCATATTAGACATCTATCTACACACATCCAATCCAGAGCAAATCCTATCTATATCACCTTCTAAAAATAATATCCACCCATTTCTCTCCATTCCCCTCTGCTGATGGTGGGAGAGGAGTGGTCTAAGCCACACTCCTCTTTCTCCTGGACTACTGCAATAACCTCCTAATTGGTAACATTCTTGCTTCCTTACAGTCCATTATGTACTCAGCCACCATATCAGATCATGTAAATTTCCCTGTTTAAAATCCTCCAATAGCTTCCCATTAACACCAAGAATAAAATCCAAACTCTTATCTGGGTCCTGCCTTCCTCTTCCAATCTACTTTACTGTCTCCCTCACTCACTTCATACCAGCCACTTCAGACTGTCCCTTTATGTGCTGAAAATGTCAAATGTGTTCCTGCTTTAAGGAAAAACTTCATTTTATCAAGTCAGAGCACAGATCTTCTTGTGAATGTTCCTTCTGGCCATTCAGCTCAAGGCTCAAATGTCACTTCCACAGAAAGGCCTTCCCTTATTCAATCTAAAGTAGCGCCCTCTAACCAAACCCCACCAGCACTCCTTTCATATTACACTATTTTCTTCATAGCCTTTATTACTCCCAGATATTTTCTGGTTAACAGATCTATTTTGTTTATTGTCCTTCTCCTGCCACTAGCGTACATGGCCCCAATTAAGAGAGCAGGGATGTTAGCTGTCATTCACTTACATACCAGTACCTAGAAAAGGACCTGGCACATTAGAGGGTACTCAAAAAATACTATTTGAATACATTAAATATAATCATTTTGCTGCTATATATCTATCAAAACTCACACTAACGATTACCTCAATTATAGACTTGTATTTAGAAATAATTCAATCTGTATTGAAAGGAAAACACTTCAAAATAATTATAATGGAAAAAAATAATTATAATGGGAAATGTTTTCAAAGTTCTCAGAAATATTCAGTAAGAATTCAAAACATCAACAATAAGAAAATCATTAACATGAATCTTTTTTTAGTTTTTAAATATAATAGCTTTATTAAAACATAGCAAACAATAAAATTAGGAAACTAGGAGAAAAAAATGTTTTTTCTGGCTTATTATCCTAAAAGTAATTACCTCTAATACTGCTACAGTTACTCAAATTCTGAAATTCCATTCAATTATCTTTGAAATATACCTTTATTTAGCATGTTATTCCCTAGAAAAATAACATAATCTTATGGAAGCTTGCAAATATTTCAAGTTAGGCCTAGTAATCAGAGCATTACTATTAGTCCTTCTATTCTAAAAAGTCCTATAGAATATTAACAGTAGATGATGTAGAATGCTTAGAGTTTATTCTCAGAATGAAATGAGAAATTGTCAATTTTTAAAAAAGGCAATAAAATAGAAAAGAGGAACATGAAATCCTTTTCGCACCGTGGTACTCATATGCACTTCTGAAGTATTTTACTATTACACTGTGTTCTGGCCTGTTTTTGAAATGCAATGTAAATAAGTGGTACACCACCCCAAAATTGAAACACTAATTTCAAAATATCCCCTTGTAAGTCCGCTAGACTTTTGTTTTCATAAACTGAATTTTCTTGATTAAAAGATATTTTAAAATGTCATTTTAAAGACCAAGGCACAAAGGAATTAAATTTTAAACACCACAGAAATACAACCAGTGAGGAATTTGTAAACCCACTTAGAGAAACCCAAAGTTGTAGGAAATACAACCAATTCATCTCCAAACTAACATAAGTCATCTTCCTAAAACAGATCTGTCCCCTCTCCTCAAAAATCTTTTTTGGCTTCTCTGGCATACAAATCAAACTCCCAATTTTTTCAACCCAACGTTCAAAGTCTTACCCAATTGGATCCTTTTCGACTCTTATCTCCACTATATCCTTTCCTAAACTCAACATACACACACACACACACACACACACACACGTCACACAAATTGCATTATTTAATTGCTATTCCCAGCATTGCCTATCCTTTCTCACCACTGTATCTTCAAGCTCTTCCTCCTGCCTTCAATCCTCTTCTGCTATATAACCTTCTATTCCAAATCTTGCCCAGCTTTCAAATTTTGGCTCCAATCCTATGTACTCTAAAAAGCTGTCTAAAATCTGCCCCCAAAGTAATACCTCCTTCTCCCACACTATCACAGCACTTAATGTGTTACTAATAGAACTTACTAATACCATCTGCTTAATAGCATAATTATTTGAACATATGTCTATCGCTATTCTTTTCTTATTTGTATTCCCTCATTAACTAATACAAAGCAGAAATTAAATAGCTGTTGAATTAAACTGAAAGATTCTGATTATCCAGCCTAGTATACAACACAGTACCAAAGTATGTCAGACACCCAGTAAATGTGCACCAAATAAATGAATGTCTTATTTCCCAATCCAGTAAATCTCGTTCAGAGCAAGAAAATAATTATCTGTATTTTTAAAAGATCAGCTGCAACAAGAATTAAGTATATAAAGTAATGAGCAACTTACCAGAGTAAATCTGAATCCTTTGGGAGAGGGCTGAAGTGTTAATTTTATACATGCAGGAAGCAGGCTCAAAAATGTAAAACAAAAGCTAAAAACATGAATAAAAATAAAACATTTGTTTTTTTTGTAGAGACATATAATTAAAACAAGGAAATATTTTTTAATATAAGGATCACATTACTTACCAACTTAAGTTTATTTCAAATGAAAGAGTTTTTTTTAAGATTTATTTATTTTATTTATTTATGAGAGAGAGAGAGAGAGGCAGAGACACAGGAGGGAGAAGCAGGCTCCATGCCAGGAGCCCGATGTGGGACTCAATCCCAGGACTCCAGGATCGCTCCCTGGGCCAAAAGCAGGCGCTAAATGGCTGAGCCACCCAGGGATCCCCTCAAAATGAAAGTTTTTTAATTTATTAAATGTAAATTTAATACCAAGTAACATTTAAATAAAACCACATATTGAAATATTGTAATATATACATGACTATATAATACAGAAAAAATTACAGTGCTTATGTTATTTATAGAAAAGATACACAAAGATAGATAACTAAAATGAATTATCAAACATTCAAAAGTAAGAAAACACTACCAGGCATAAAGAAATAATATATGTAACACAAACATTCATGAAATTTAGTCACAAGAGAATCTCTCACAAAAGTTGATTATCTGATTTTCCAGCCCATGGCAAATCAGAAAGAACAAGTTAGAAAGGGAATGAGCAACTACAAGAACTTCTCCTAATGATGGCTGATGGGCAGGGAGGAAAAAGAACTCAACAAGCAGAGCAATCTGGAGCCATTTAGTACCATGGCAAACAGTTTTTGAAAGGCCTAAGGACAAGTATCATAACACAATACAATAACTGATGTTCCCACTGTTGGTGGCTTTGTGGTGTGCCAACTTGGCTTGACTGAACTATGGCTCCCTGAATTCTCTCTCTACTATGCTCCCAGCTACAGTGGGCTACAAGGGATATTCTCAAAAGAACTCAACAACAGAGAGAGGCAGCACCCATTTTGTAGCATACACACACACACACACACACCTTGATTATTCAGATACTAATCTTGGTGCTGCTGGGATGAGATTTCGCAGTTTTTTTTTTAATTTTTATTTATTTATGATAGTCACAGAGAGCGAGAGAGAGAGAGGCAGAGACACAGGCAGAGGGAGAAGCAGGCTCCATGCACCAGGAGCCCGACGTGGGATTCGATCCCGGGTCTCCAGGATCGCGCCCTGGGCCAAAGGCAGGCGCCAAACCACTGCGCCACCCAGGGATCCCGAGATTTCGCAGTTGTAATGAAAGTCCCCACTCAGTTAATTTTAATTTAATCAAAAGGGAGATTCTTGGATGGCCCCACTTAATCAATTGGAAGATTTTTAAAAGAGAGCTTAGGGCATCCCTAAACTCAGATTCCAAATAGTAACTGGGTTCAGACTGACTGTTCTTCCTTCCCCTTAGATACTGCTTCCTGAATGCCTGCCTTCTGGACTTCTGGTTGGTTCAGTCAGACCCCACGATTATATGAGCCAATTCCTTGTTAATAAATTGCTCTCTCTCTCTCTCTCTCTCACACACACACACACACAAACACACACACACACACTCCTCCTACTCATTCTTCTCTGGTTGAACTCTAATTGATACACCACTGAAAATCGTGACTCTTCAAGATAATGTTTAATCGTGTTTAGTAGACTTTGAGGAGGAGGGAAATAGAGAACAATCCAGAGAGATTATCATGTAATGTATTTCAAATAAAAGTTTTGGTGTAGGGACACCTGGGTGGCTCAGTGGTTAAGCATCTGCCTTCAGCCCAGGGCATGATCCTGGAGTCCTGGGATCGAGTCCCACATCAGGCTCTCTGCATGCAGCCTGCTTCTCCCTCTGCCTGTGTCTCTGCCTCTCTTCCTCTATGTCTCTCATGAATAAATAAAATCTTAAAAAAAAAAAGTTTTGGTGTGTCGAGGGATAGGTTTATATTATGTGGAACACTGACTAATGAAGACCACCTCGTTTCCTAATGACACCAGCTAAATGAACTATTACCGTAACACTTAACACTTTTAGAGAACAGTTCACAACACTATATACAAACTTTGTATCTCTCACCTGATTATTATCTGGATGTGATGTGGCAAAATATCCTTGATCTTCAGAAAGACGCTGAAGCTGCACCAAATATTGGCTACTTTATCCTTAAAACAGATTTGTTAGTTTTACCTTCTGATATAATTGAAGGAAATATTAATCTCTATCAAAGTACAGCCAGCCCATAATCTCTAAATAAACTTTTGAGACACAAAGCTTTTGTTCACAATTTTATAAATAAACTCTCTAAGGATCTCTCTCTCTCTCTCTCTCTCTCCACGTTCTGCAATGGGAGTTGACCTAAATCACTAGCCAACCATAATCTAGACATTCCAAAGAAATGTTTGTTATTTTTCAAAGAGCAGCACACTACCCCTAATACTTAAGTTATTCATCTTTGGAAATTTTTCCAGGAAATCTTATTTCCTAATTTGTAGAATGTGTGTTTTCTGACCCTTTTCATCACACACCTGAAATTATCTCAAGTATAACCTACTAGCAACTCACAATGACAAGAGTTAATTGCTAATAAATCAAGGCATTTAAAGACATTAGCAGTTGTGGTAGGATCACTTTCAAAATTAAATTTGTAACTACAGCTCTCTTGTGAAACCCATCCTCTACACAGCTGCTTAACTCACAGCTGTGTAAGCATAACATCAAGAAAGTAACTATCACCGACAACTGTACCATCCCACTTCCCTCTGTCAATCAAAGAAAAGACTCTTCAGATTTTGAGGGCAGTAAGTAAACAGAGGTGGCCAGCAACACTATCAAACACGTATGATACCCATTTTTATGATTATCATGATAAATGCTATTTCTGAAGTGGAAAGCAAGGCAAGTAACAGCAAATAACCAAGCAGCTTAGATGGGGAATTAGTTTTTCTTTCTTTCTTTTTTTCAAAGATTTTATTTATTTATTCATGAGACACACAGAGAAAGAGAGAGGCAGAGACACAGGCAGAGGGAGAAGCAGGCTCCATGCAGGGAGCCCAATGTGGGACTCGATCCCGGGTCTCCAGGATCGTGCCCTGGGCTGAAGGCGGCATTAAACCGCTGAGCCACTGGGCTGCCCTAGTTTTTCTTTTTATAAGTTTTAAGGTTAGAGGAAATATAAAGAAGTTAACACAATTTTCAAGATTCAAACCACAGTTCTGCCGAGTACAAGCTACATGAATCTCTGACTTCAGTTTTCTGATTTGTAAAATGGATACAGTAGCTACCTCAGAGCTATTATAAGATTCAAATAAAAGTACATGTGAAGTGGGACGCCTGGATGGCTCAGCAGTTGAGCATCTACCTTCTGCCCAGGGCGTGATCCCGGATTCCCAGGATCAAGTCCCACATCGGGCTCCCTGCATGGGGCCTGCTTCTCCTCCCTCTACCTGTGTCTCTGCTTCTCTTTCAGTGTCTCTCATGAATAAATAAATAAAATTTAAAAAAAAAAAAATACATGTGAAGTATGCAGCACCTGCTAAGTAAGAGTGGTGACAAAAATAGTGATTTTTTGTGATTATCAGCATCAGTAGCACCAGTATCTCCATCAACACATAAGTCATATATTCCTGTTCCATCATGACCAAACTCTTTCTTGCTCTCTTTCAAACTGCTGGTACCATTCTCCTATAGATCCATTGAAAGATAATCTATAGCAATTTATAGATTCAAAAATTAGAAATATATATATGTATTTCTACTTTTTAAAAGAAATGTTTATCAAAAGCAAATTATCTATAAATATGTAGTCTCTAACCTTATTAAAAGGCCTTTTTGTTTAATAAAAATGGTTTGTTTAATTTAATTACTAAATCTAAATTGTCAAATTATCCAAGTAATAAAAGTTTAACAAGTGATTAAGCTAGCATTAAATGAAATGAAAGATTCTCATTAAAAATTACAATGGATGAAAATTATATATGAATTATGAGATCTTACTGAAGCAAACATGATTATTAGTTTAATAAATAATTTCCTAAGACTAAAAAAGAAAATATAAACCAAAACCTACAGAACTGTTTAACTTTGCAGCTGCAACTTCTTATGCTGTCTTTCCCCATAGATTCTATTTCATTAGAAAAATATATAACTGAATTATGGATTTCATGATGGCATAAATATTATCTATTCACTTAATGTACTAGAAAATGCCAGCCAAGCTAGAGGTCATATACTGGATTAAATAACTGGCAAAAAATGACTGCAAGGAGAGCAGCTCAAGTTACTATTCCTTGTGTTGTCTTCTATATGAAATCCCAAGAGGCCACAGCAAAGGTAGTGTTAACAGAAAGAAAGGATACTGGACAATAAATTTAATTATAAATAGAAAAAAAAGAAAGAAAGGAGTAAGAAGAAAGTTTTTTGTTTTGGTTTGTTTTTTTTGAGAAGAAAGTTTTTATTTTTTATTTTTATTTTTCTTTTTTTTAGATTTTATTTATTTATCCATGAGAGACACACAGAGAGAAGAGGCAGAGACACAGGCAGAGGGAGAAGCAGGCTCCACACAGGGAGCCCGATGTGGGACTTGACCCTGGGTCTCCAGGATCACTCCCTGGGCTGAAGGCGGCGCTAAACCGCCAAGCCACCAGAGCTGCCCGAGAAGAAAGTTTTTAAACATACCTCAAATAATCCACGATCAACTGGGAAGAGTCTTCTTAGAACTTGCAGTGTTTGCTCCCTTTCCGTAAAGAATGGCAGCCAGCAGAGAATGAAGGAAGCCACAACTGTACAAGCTAGCTTAATTAACAACACGAACCTAGAAAAGAAATAAAGGTAGCCAGTAAGATAGGGAGAGGTTAATCATTCTGATAAATCAGTCTCAGTCTCACTAAAGATAATAAATACAAATGCATAGTAATGATAAATCTATGCCACTAACAAAGGTTTAATATGGGAGTCTACTCAAATCAGAGTTCACAATTATTAAAATGTATAAGCTCTCCAACAAAAAGACTATCACCATCTTAATTAACATTTAACTTTTACGTCTTTCCAATGCAGCCATGAAGAAAAATGTCAAATTAGAATGTATTTCTAATGAGTATAAAATGTAATATGCTCTAAATGGGTGAAATCCTATAGCAATGTTCTAACAAGCCAATCCACATTACCTCCAGTAAATGTACATTGATCAAAATATTTCTCTAGTTAGGAAGATTTAAGTAAAATAATATAGAACATGACTTAATCTCTCTTCCAACTCACCACACAGTCAACACGCTAATAAGAAATCACATAAAGGCAAAATGAAAGACCACTTTCATCCTAGTAAGTATGCCAAATAAATTCTCTGAAGTACTTTAAAAATTCTGTTATTTAAAAGCCACTCACCCCTTTCCTTTCAGGCCTTTTTTAAAACACTTGCCAAGTAAAAAGCAAAAAAATGGCAAGGAGTGGTAAAGTTCCATCTGTTTATAATTTATAGCTAAGCAAAATGCCAGTGAGCCTAGTAGGTCCCAGTCACAAGATACTCCAAGAACACCCCACAAAGCAAAGCCAAGACTCACAGAATTATATATGTTTCTATGTCAAGGAAATTATCTCAAAAATTGATAGATCTTGCATTTTATAGAGAATATTTCTTATGTAATTTTTTAATTTTTTAAAAATCTTTATTTATTTATTATTTATGATAGACATAGAGAGAGGGAGGCAGAGACACAGGCAGAGGGAGAAGCAGGCTCCATGCTGGGAGCCCGACATGGGACTCGATCCCGGGACTCCAGGATCGCGCCCTGGGCCAAAGGCAGGCGCTAAACCACTGAGCCACCCAGAGATCCCCTGATTTTAAAATAATATATAATGAAAGTTATTTCTAAAGAAATCAAAAGTACTGAAGTGATAAATTATTAAGAAATTGTATATAATGGCCTCAAATATATTAAATTGACTGCTAAACAGAGTAACTGATTTGTTTAGATTTAGAAGACCACTAAATAGTTAACACATAGCTTTGTTTCTGCTAGACTATTTCACAATGTTAGTATAATGTAACAAAATCTAGAGAATAAAACAATGATTCAGAGTAAAACACACACACACACTTTGTTGATATCATCACTTTCCTCTATAATATGCATCAATAGTATAATATATGTCCTTGATCAGAAATTAATATTCTTATTATAGTAAAACAACATCACAATTAGATTTTGCAGTTCAAAATGAGCTGAACACTCATGTTTACCTCCTCTCCTTCCCAAGACCTCCTTAAAATGATGGGGAATTTTTAAAAGTAAATATTCACAGCTGTAAAGATAATAGGAAGATGGGTTACAACAGGTAAAGGTTTCAACACATTTCTAGAAGACATAGGACAGAGAAGCATAACAAATAAAATACGATGGAAGAAGCCAGAGCTTAGAAAATGCACAGAGGAAGCCCAAGCAAGCAAGAAGCTAATCCACTCTGCAAGCCCCTGGAGAACTTAAGAAACACCAAGTAGGTTAGAGTGCTTGAGTAACAACTTGAAAAGAAAACAGGAGGATTAAATGAAAATGCCTACATTAAGATGTCAAATCCCACCTTACTCCAGATATTTGCCACCTACCCCAGCCACAGAAGGAGGAATATTTCTCCAGAGAAATGGAATGAATTAACTACCCAAGGCAGCTAGTGTAGAAGTGAACACTACAGTGCAAAACCTCCACATTCTGACACGGACCCCAAAGTGTTCTTGGCCAGCTCCCTGCCACTTACCCTATAGTGTGCCAGATTCATAGAGAACTCACATGCAACTTTTTCTTCTGCCTTATTCTTAAATAAGAATAAATATACTAGGACCAAACAGACACTTAAGAAAAACCTATAACAAGAAAAAGAAGCAAAATGAAGAGGGAAAAAACTGACCCTAGAAGAATGGAAATAATCAAGGAATAGTAGATAAAAAGAGTAATTCAAATTTAGGATAAGATTAATAAAATAAATGATATTTAATAGAAGTATTAGAGATAAAGTCAAGATAATCTTCTAAACCATAAGACAAAAGACAAATAGATGCTCAAGACAGAGATGAGGGGTGCCTGGATGGCTCTGATGGCTAAGCACCCAACTCTTGATTTCAGCTCAGGTCATGATCTCAGGGTCATGAGATCAAGTCCCTAGTAGAGCTCTGCCTTCTGTGAGGAGTCTACTTGGGATTCTCTCTCTCCCTCTCCCTTTGCATCTCCCCACACTCGCATGCATGCTCTCTTCTCTAATAAATAAATAAATCACTAAAAAAAGAGGTGAAAGCTCTAACATCTAATAATAATAAGCTCAAGAAAGAGTAAAATGAGAAAATCTACAAAGAAATAATAGCATTTTCCAGAACTAAGGAACAGGAGTCTTCAAAATTAATGAGTCACAAGAGTAACCAAAACAATTGTTGCAAACACCTCTACCTAAACAAATTATTATTAAATTTCAGAGCCCAAAAAGTAAAAAAAAAAAAGAAAGAAAGAAAAGCAACAGTAACAACAGATAATAAAAGCAATATATACTCATAGAGAGCTTAGTATCTCCCAAGTACTATTTTATTTATAAATAATAATTACCTCAATTCTCAAAGTAAGCATACAAAGTGGGGTGCCTGGCTGGCTCAGTCAGAAGAGCACTGACTCTTGATCTTGGGGTTGTGAATTCAAGCCCCATGTTGGGCACAGGGATTACTTAAATAAGTAAACATTTTAAAAAAAAAGCATACAGAGTAAGAGTAATTATTATCCCTATTTAACAAACGAGTAAAGTATACACTGGTTAAAAAATGTGTCCCCACAAAATGACATAATCCCAAAAGCTTCAAGACTTTGAATTTAATCACAGAGGAAATGCCACAACAAATTCACCAGAATGGTTAAAATGAAAATGACTGATAGTTGATGAAGTTGAGTACCTGGAAATCCCACATCATTTCTCTCTCTCTCTTTTTTTTTTTAAGATTTTATTTATTCATGAGACACACAGAGGCAGAGACATAGGCAGAGGGAGAAGCAGGTTCCCTGCAGGGAGCCCAATGTGAGACTTGATCCCAGGATCACACCCTGAGTCAAAGGCAGACACTCCATCATTGAGCATCCCTGTGTTTTCTCTTTTATATAAAGTCCAGCAAAGGGGGGAAAATTAAACTATAGGATTAGCAGTTAGTATGTGGCTATCTTTGGGGGAGGAGGAGAGAAAAGTACTTGGGAGTTGTACAAGTGAATATAGGCAATGTTCAATTTTTTGACACAGGCAATAGTTTGTCAATACACTGAGCTACACATTTATATGTTGTGCACTTTTCTATATGAGTATTACATTTCAAAGTAAATATCATTTTAAAAATCGTGTAAACAGCTTTTTTCTTATCAGTGTTTTGGATATTATCAGAGTATCAGATGGCCACGATCCCAAAATGCAAAGCAAACAAGTCAACTAGGAAAGTGGACCAAAGAAGGACTCTGATTTAAATCTTTTCCAAGTCCTTTGATAAATACACATATTAAATTTGTTATAACTAAAACAGATTGGCTTCAAAAGGAGAAGCTAGGGCAGCTCGAGTGGCTCGGTGGATCGAGTCCCACGTCGGGTTCTCTGCATGGAGCCTGCTTCTCCCTCTGCCTGTGTCTCTGCCTCTCTCTCTCTCTGTCTCTCATGAATGAATGAATGAATAAATAAATAATCTTAAAGAAAAGAAAAGAAAAAGAAAAAAAAGAAAAGAAAAAAAGAAAAGAAAAGAAAAGAAAAGAAAAGAAAAGAAAAGAAAAAGCTATTCATTAATCATGTTGCTGTGGACTATGTCTTTTTTCCTTTGGGACAGCTAGGAACAGATAGTAACAGTTAATTAATACATCCAAAGACACACTGGAGAGCCATGTCCAGATTTATCAACTTTCCTCTAAGATCTGTTTGAATGTTCCTTATTTTACATTTCAAAAAATTACACACATAAAATCCACATAGATTCTAAATACTCGATTTTAGTTCCCTGAAGCTTGCATTTACCACTATCTGTAAGAGAAACGTCTTTGCTTTAACACTCGAAAAACTTTAAGACTCTTTTCCTTTTGTCAGTGCTGTATAACGTTTACAAAAGATAGAAGATATGTGATACCTCTTTAGAATGAGGAAAGCACACCATACTTAGCAACCATACTCTTTTTCTAACTCTTCCAAAGAGCTAATCGGTGACCAACATTTTGTTGCCAAGCCAAAGAGCAAAAAAGAGCAAGTCTACTTTCAATAAATCTGTACGTTACCCTTCAAGTAAAAGCCTAGTGAAAAGATTCCTTTACATTGTTGTGAAAAATAGTTTATGTAAGCAAGTACCCTCTCAAACAGGACGTTAGTGGATGACAACATTATACACATTGAGCCTAGATTTCAAAATATGCATCTGACTTCATTTCTGAATTAGTAAAGGATACTGAAAATGTCCATAGTCGATAAGAATAAGGCCTGGATACAGCAATATGCATAAAGCATTAGCAATCTGTAAAGAAAAATATTGTGAAATAAGAAAGTAATGTTACTCAAATCAAACAAGGTAAAATTGCTGTCTGATTTAACACAGCAAATGTTCCCCATTCACCTCCTATTTATAAAAATATTCCTTTTTATAAAACAGTTCTCTAAATACTAAAGTTTTCATGGAAGTGATATACCTCCGTAAAATGGAAAAACAATCACTAAAGGGTATTTGTCAGAAAAAGCACTCTTAGACATACAAATCAAGTAAACTAATTTACTGATTAACCTGTATACAATGACCCAAAAGGATATCTGTTCAATAGGAATAAGAGAATAGTCAGTGACTTTTCAAAATGCTTTCCAGTTTAGTTATCCTCACAAGCCAATTCAAAATTCTGTTTTACCAGTAAAGTCATAATTAGCATGCTGTGCAATTCAGCAGTACAGAACTTCTCAAATTCAGAGCATCTTATTACTAGAATTGAACATTAAAATTATTAGTCTAAGGTAAATTGATGTTTTCTAAATGAAAGGTAATTGACAAAAGAATCACTATTCTACAATTGCCTATTGCCCAAAGCATGGCTTCTGTAAGCTCTATGCTTTAATAGTTAAGCAAATCAAACATTTCAGAGATGAAATTTCAAGTTGCTTTAAAACTTACCTTTTTCTTGGTTGAGATTTCTTTTAAACAACAACAGTATAAAACCACTGCAGGTATATAAATCAGCAAATCAGCAATGAATACTGAAAAAAACAAATATTATGAGTCCATTAGGATTCATAATAACCTATTCAGTGCCATCCTCCTCCCCCTCCAACCTCAAGTGGGAATTCTGTTAACAGAAGGCTCTCACCCACTCTGGACAGTGCCTTTACATGTCTAGCCCCTTCCATTCATTCCCTTCACCTGTGCCTGATTTCAACTGCTATGGTGCTACAATTATGATTAATAAGAGTCTCTTAATTTTCTCTAACAAATTCACACATTAAATCAATTAGGTGTATCCAAAACTAATTCCGTCTTTGCTCTGAGACTTAAAAATTAAGAATACTCAAAGGAACACACATTTTTTCTCCCAGTATCTGTATACTCTAAATTTTCTGGTGTGAAGTATACCTCAAATGTGGCAAATTATACAAGAATCCTTCTAAATGTTAATATTCATAAAAACTGCATAAACTTTTACTAATTTGGAATGTTCAGTCCCTCTAGAACAAAGAAAAACAAATACAGTAAGTTCTTCAACAGTACAACATAGCTATCCAAAGAACCTATTTTTTTCTTGTACCACACTAAATGTAGTGTCCAGAATAAGATAAGCAACAGTAAACTGTCCGTTTTAGATGCATGCAATCTATTTTTAGCTCTAAATGCCACATTTAAGATGACACTGAAAAAAATGGAATATATAAAAAGGAACACAACCAGAGGCCTCAAACCATAATCACATTCAACAAGCTAGCCATCTAAGAAGTAGTTAACGTATCTAAGAGTACTTAACCCGGAGAAGAGGTGACTTCAAATGTCCGTAGAGTGTTAGGTATACAAAGGATCAGACTTGTTCTGTGTAGCCCAAGGAAACAGAACCTAAAGTGATGAGTGGAGGTTCAACATAAGAAGGAAATGTTTAGGGGTGCCTGGGAGGCCCAGAAGGGTGACCAACTCGGTTTCCAATCCAGTCATGGTCTCAGGGTCCTGAGAGTGAGCCTCATGTAGGTTCCATACTCGGCAGGGAGTGAGCTTGGGATTCTCTCCCCCCCTCCCTCTGCCCCTCCCTCCACTCACGCCTGTACATGTGCACCCGCTCTCACTTTCTCAAAATAAATAAATAAATCTTAAAAAAAAAAAAAGAAGGAAATGTTTAATTACTGGGGCTCTCTGAAAATAGAACAGAGTGTTTCTAAAGATTGTGAGTTCCCTGTGTATACAGGTGTTGGTTCAGAAGTTAAATAATCTTCCAGTGAGCATGCAGTTCAGAGAGGATTAAAGCACTGTCGGGTAGGGTTTGGGGGGCAGCAGAAGGAAAGATAGTCAAGATAATCAATTGGGGCTGAGATTCCATGACTGGATGAATGATAAAGAGAACAAACTCTGACTAAATTTAGACTAATTAAGGAAAAGGCAGCAAGGAGCATTAAAGTCTAAGTCATGCTAAGCTTTTATAGAATCTAGGTGGGGGACGCCTGGGTGGCTCAGTGGTTGAGCATCTGCCTTCCATTCAAGGGGTGATTCCAGGGCCCAGGGATCCAGTCCTGCATCAAGTTCCCTGCGGGGAGCCTGCTTATCCCTCTGCCTATGTCTCTGCCTCTCTCTCTGTTTCTCATAAATAAATACAAAATCTTAAAAAAAAAATCTAGATGGGGGGCATCTGGGGGCTCAGTCAGACTCTTAATTTCCACTCAAGTCATGATCTCAGGATGGTAAGATCAAGCCCCTCATCAGGCTCTTCACTTAGGCTCCATACTCAGCATGGAACCTGCTTGAGATTCTCTCTCCCTCTGCCCCTCCCCCTGCTCACACTCACTCTAAAATAAATAAATCTTAAAAGAAGAAGAAATCATCATCATCATCATCATCATCATCATTATCAACATCATCTGGGGCACTTGGATGGGTCAGTCAGAGGAGCACACAATTTTTTTTTAATTTTTTATTTATTTATGATAGTCACACACACACAGAGAGAGAGAGAGAGAGAGGCAGAGACACAGGCAGAGGGAGAAGCAGGCTCCATGCACCGGGAGCCCGACGTGGGATTCGATCCCGGGTCTCCAGGATCGCGCCCTGGGCCAAAGGCAGGCGCCAAACCGCTGCGCCACCCAGGGATCCCCACAATTCTTGATCTCAGGGTGGTGAGTTCAAACCCACATTGGCTATAGAGATTACTTAAATAAAGTTACACACACACAAAAAAAAAGCTTTTAAAAAAATCTAATCTTATTACTTTCAAGCTCTTAGAATGCTCAATAAACATTTGTTGAAAGGATTAACTAATTTAGCCAAAATGTACAGCAATACAATGTATAAAATACAACCAAAAGGTTTACTTTAAAAAAAGGTGAAAGAGATTTGGAATGAAGATAGTAAAGCAGCAGAGTGGCTTAGTCTGTTGAGTGTCTGACTTCTGGTTTCCACTCAGGTACATGATCTCAGGTCCTGAGATTGAGCCCCCCGCATTCGGCTCAGCACTCAGCATGAGTCTGCTTGAGATTCTCCCTCTCCCTCTTCTTTCGCCCCTCCCACTGTTCACATTCTCATGTTCTTCTCAAATAAATAAATAAATCTTGGAGAAAAGATATTAAAGTACAGCTAAGCAACTAAAACTTCAATTTATGGCTATCTGACCTCAGATAAGTTATTAGCATCACTTAACTGTGCTTCTGCTTCCTCAGGTTAAAGTAAGAATAATAATAGTATTTGGGTGTTAAACGAATTGAGATAATAATAAATGTAAAGTACCTACAATGATTCCTTTTTATTGTTTTTTAACTTATATATACATTTGGTCATGTATTATATGTTTATTTATTTTTTTTTAAATATTTATTTATTTATGATAGTCACACAGAGAGAGAGAGAGAGAGAGAGAGAGAGAGGCAGAGACATAGGCAGAGGGAGAAGCAGGCTCCATGCACCGGGAGCCCGACGTGGGATTTGATCCCGGGTCTCCAGGATCGCGCCCTGGGCCAAAGGCAGGCACCAAACCGCTGCGCCACCCAGGGATCCCTGTATTATATGTTTATATGTATAGTTACAGTTATACAATATTAAAAGTAAGAACAATAGAACTTTTTATCAGTTTGTCCAAAATTTTAAAAATCAATATTTGATTTAGAAAATCAATGCCTATTGCTCTTTTACCTGTAGTACGCATGAAGAGCTTATGTGCCTGACTCTCATATCCACGTGATGAATGGAGTTCAATCCAGTCTGGATTTATGAATTTTGCCCTGAAAATCAACGCAGATATACATATACAGTATTACTCATCACTTTTAGCAATAATAACATCTAAGAACATATGAATCTATCTTAAGAAGTGGCCATTTCTCTTATTAAGTGAGAGAATCAAGGCTTTATGCTTTACTCTTTATTTAATCATGTGAAAGTGCCTTAAGCTATAACACAGGGTCTACCTCACTCACCTTCCAACAAAACCATGTAACAATTCATGAAAAGCCCTACATTTACAATTCTCTCAGGATAAAAATAATCTGATGTGTCACATTTCATTCATTCATTCACTCATTCATTCATTTATTTTATCCTTTGGTTACTACTAAAGGATAACAGTTGACAATAATAAACAGCTAATTATAAATCCTTGAATAAAACTAAACATAATTGTTAAAGAAAACTTTTCAACCATATTATATTATTCTGAATACTGCAAAGTATATCTGAGTATCATGAACTTTAGCAACTAACTTTTAATCCAGGAAGCTAAGTTTTACAAAATATAAATGGTCTATTCCATAAAAAAAGCTTTGCTATATACAACTAACCATGACACATTTGTGAGTAATCCATGTATAATTAGTAGTATCTCAGTTTCAACACAAAGATAGATTTTTACATTTCTTGTCTACAGCCATTCTACCCTGAATTTGCTGATTGCATCTGATCTCAGAAGCTAATAAGCAGGGTTGGGTCTGGTTAGTACTTGGATGGGAAACTTTTACATTTCTTTTAGCCTGTCCACCAAAGAAATTATGGAAACATTCAAACTTTGATAGTTAACTATTGGATTGTAACTGATTTATAATCCAGTTGCAAAGGTATAGTGCTTTATAAACCACAATGTAAAAGTAGCTACAAACATCTATCCCCTATTCAACAAAGCCAGATCACAATGTTTCTTTACTAAATCTGCTAAGGGCATGAATATTTAGTTACATTAAGGAAGAAAACTGGGGCATCTGGGTGGCTCAGCCAGTTAGGCAACCAATCTTGATTTAGGCTTAGGTCATGATCTCAAGGTTGTGGGGTCAAGCCCTGCATCGGGCTCTGTGCTGAGCCTGGAGCCCGCTTAGGACTCTCTCTCTCTCTCCCTTTGCCTCTCCCTGCTTGTGTATGCTCTTTCTCTCAAAAATAAAAAAATAAAGGAAGAAAAACTTACACATATGCACATAAAAGACTATGATAGGCTGTAAGAGGTGGATAATCCAATCCCCAATACTGCAAATTGTTATCACTACTGTTAAAATACCTGAAAAAAAAAGACAGTAACATTCCATTAATTTTCAAGAAATAGATTTACACTTTAACATCTCATTTAATTAAAATGAAAAAATGTTATGCAAGGTAAAAAAAAATTCATCTAAACTTTTGTCTATTCCCCTTCACTTAAAATTGTTCGTGAAATCACAATTAAAAGATTTTGAGTTAAGTAAATAATTTATTGTCTAAACCAAGATACTCTTGAGAGTAAAAGAGTGAAAAAGGAAGTTATTAATAATTAAGCCATAACAAGAAATGTAAACCAAGATTGTCCCCAGCAAACCAGAACTTATTGTCATTCTATTAATAAAGTTGATTATATACAACAAAAAAATTCACAGCAAAAAAGACAATTTACTTCTGATTATCTAACAAATTAGAGAAGCAATATAAAATCAAAATTTTAAAAAGTAAAAATATTGGCATGCCTGAGTGGCTCAGTCTGTTAAGCATCTGCCTTTGGCTCAGGTCATGATCCCAGAGTCCTAGGATCCAGCCTCACTGCTCAGCAGGGAGCCTGCTTCTCCCTCTCCCTCTCTGTCACTCCCCTTGCTTGTGCTCTCTCTTTGTCAAATAAATAAAAACCTTTTTAAAAGTGGGAGAGGACAGCTGGGTGGCTCAGTCAGTTAAGTGTCTGCTTTCTGCTTAGGTCATGAACCCAGGGTCCTGGGATGGAGTCCCACACTGGGCTACCTGCTCGGCAGGGAGTCTGCTTATCCCTCTGCCCCTCCTTCCACTCATGCTCTCTGTCTAAAATAAACACATAAACTCTTAAAAAAAAAAAAGGAAAAATATCAGTGCCAAAGAGCACACAAAGATTTGATTTATGGAAAGAGAAATACCTCATGGAACAGGTAGACTTTTTTTTAAAGATTTTTAAGTAATTTCTATACACAACACAACGTGGAGCTCAAACTCACAATCCTGAGGTCAAATTTCATGCTCTACCAACTGAGAGAGCCAGGTGCCCCAGAACAGGTAGACTTTTAATAAGACTTTAAACAATAGGAGGGCGGGGGGTGGGGGTGAATGGGTGACGGGCACTGAGGGGGGGCATTTGACTGGATGAGCACTGAGTGTTATTCTGTATGTTGGTAAATTGAACACCAATAAAAAATAAATTTATTATAAAAAATAATAATAAAAAAATAAAAATAAAAACAATTCAACCAACTTATAATGAGAGCTTATTATATGCAAGATTTTGTGAACTGAGAATGAAAACTAGGTCTAACATCCATAAATTGTCTCCTAAAATTAGCCAGAATACAAAGGTACTATATACAATCACTATGACTGAAGAAAGGAAAACTAAGTTTACATAAACAGATTTCTTAATTATATCCTTTATAACTAAGGAGCTTCTTCTATCCAACTTATTTTCTCAGTCCTAAGAATAATTTACAGTAATGGAGACCAAACTATATAACCCACAAATAATCAGTGTTCATAACTCATTTCAAATGGGTCACAAAGTTTTAGTGTCACAATCTCTTAATTTGGGATTATAATTTTTTTCTTTTAAATTAACATTCAGGGGACGCCTGGGTGGCTCAGCAGTTGAGTATCTGCCTTCAGCTCAGGGCATGAAGCTCCAGGGATCGAGTCCCACATCAGGCTCCCTGCGTGGAGCCTGCTTCTCCCTCTGCCTGTGTCTCTGCCTCTCTGTGTCTCTCATGAATAAATATTTTTTAAAAATTAACATTCAATTCCATTAAATAATCTATTGTTCATCTTCAGAAGGTCTGCTTTGCTTAGTCACATAAAATGTAGGTTTGTACAGAAGGGATGGGGATTAATAAAATGACCAATGCATGCTACACAGCCAAGAAGCCTGAGCATAGGGTACTACAGTATGTACCATCTAGTAGTACTTGTCTACTCCAGGAGCAACATCCATGTGAACCATCTAGGTCCTATATCTGGCTGGAACTTGAAGCCAAGTAGCAGTAAATTCAACAATTTCCAGGTTATTTGGAGTCCCTTTTGACAGCTTGATTCCGGGAAACTGGACTTCTCTGGTACCCTCTGCAGACAGGCACCAATTGTGTTATTTCCAAATTTGTCTTATTACCAGGCACACTGGCACAAAGTCTTATTGCATCTACCTCCCAGAGTTATTGTAGGACTGGGTTAAATACATAGAGCTGTTAAATCACTGCCTGACAAGTACAGAATAGTAGTTCTAACTGCCTACTAGCTGCAAAACTACTAGAATGGATCTAGCAATGGAAAACCACTTTGACCAATAAAATTGCATTTGGTTTTCTGTTCCTTATTGGGCAACGCTATTTTTTGTTTACTTTAAATTTGAGATCCTCTGGAGAGAAGTAAAAGAAGCACTGCAAAAATATATACTTACAGTAAAGTCACTGGTTGAAATGAGAAGAAAGAATGATAGAGCTAACAACCTTTATGGAAAAGGTAGCTTTAAAATGTTTCAAGTAAAGCTGCAAAATCCACCAGTAGAAACAAAGCAACTAGTTAATTCTCCAGCTTTATATATTTCGGATATATCTGAAAAGTTGTGTAAATGCTATTAATATGTTGAAATGTATTTTCCCAATGAATTCCCATATAATCTCAGTAGATGCTTTGTCAGAAAAAATTTGCTTGCCATATGAATTATGAAATTACATTCAAGAGTGTTATCATTAACAAAGATAAATTTTTTCTAATATACAACCTATAATCATGGGTATTTCGGCTTTTAAAAAATACACATTTTATAATTTTTTTTAAGATTTTATTTATTTATTCAGAGAGAGGGGGGGGGGGCAGAGACACAGGCAGAGAGAGAAGCAGGCTCCATGCAGGGAGCCCGATGTGGGACTCAATCCTGGGTCTCCAGGATCAGGCCCTGGGCTGCAGGCAGTGCTAAACCTCTGAGCCACGGGGCTGCCCTAAAAAAATACACGTTTTAAAGTGAAATAGTTTCAGACTTACAGAAGGATTTCAACAACAGTTTAAAGAACTTCTGTACATCAAAATGTAAAAATTTTTATGACAAAAGACATGTTTAAAGATAAGAAAGAACAAAGAGGAAGATATTTAATTTATACATACATATATATATATACACACACAATTATTAAAATGTCAAATACTGCTGTAGTAGACAGACTTTAAAGTCATCACCATGAATCCCATCTCCTATTTTCTGTGCCCCTGAATACATACAACTCCCTCCCCTTGAACATGGGCAAGACTGGTGACTGACTTGCTTATAACCAACAGAATATGAGCAAGATGTTAGGTGTCACTCTTGTGCTTATATTTTATGTATATATAAGATTCTGTCTTGTTAGCAAGTATCCTAGAGAGACTGACTGACTTTGAAGAGGCAAGCTGTCATGTTTTAGTAAGTGACCATATTGGAGAAGCCACATGGCAAAAAACTGCAAGTAAATTCTAAGAGCTGAGAAGCTTCCAAAAAGAAACTGAAGCCCTCAGTCTTGTAGATGTAAGAAAATTAATTCTGCCAACAGCCTGAGGAACCTTGAAAATGGTCGCTTCCGCAGCTGAACCTCTGAGAAGACTACAGCCCCAGCTAACAGCTGGATTGCATGTAGCCTGAGGCTCTGAGCAGAATATTAAGCTAACCCATGCCTCGACTTTTGACCTAAAAACACCCATGTGATTAAAAATGTATGTTTAGGTGAGCCCTGGGTGGCTCAGCGGTGGTTTAGTGACTGCCTTCGGCCCAGGGCGTGATCCTAGATACCCAGGATCGAGTCCCATGTCGGGCTCCCTGCATGGAGCCTGCTTCTCCTCTCTGTGTGTGTGTATGTGTGTCTCCCATGAATAAATAAATAAAATCTTATAAAAAAAAATGTATGTTTATGTAATTACTATCTGTGATCATTTGTTAACACAGCATAGAAAATTAATATATAGTAGTCTTCCCTTATCCCAGTTTACTCTCTTGATTTCAGTTACCAGTGGTCAAATGCAGTCTGTAAGCACATTGTCCTCCTAACGTATCCTCAGGAGGTTAACAGTAGTAGCTTAATGCTGCATCACAATGCCCATATCATTCACCTCACTTCATCTCTTCACATAGACATTCGATCATCTCACATCATCACAAGAAGGTAAGTACAGTCCAATAAGATATTTTGAGAGAGACACATTCATGTAACAATTCAATACATTGTTACAGTTGTTCTATTTTATTATAGTTATTAATCTTTTACTCTGCTAATTTATGAATTAAACTTTATCACTGGTATGAATATATAGGAAAAAACATAGCCTACAGGGTTTGGTGTTATTTGTAGCTTCAGGCATCCACTGGGGGTACTGGAACTTATGCCCCAGGAGTAATGGGGGACTACTGTTACTTTATTTATAAATCATACAAATTGAAAAGAAATAATAAAATCAAATAAATCATACAAATTGGGATGCCTGGGTGGCTCAGCGGTTGAGCATCTGCCTTCAGCTCAAGGTGTGATACCGGGGTGCAGGGATCAAGTCTCGCATCAGGCTCCCTGTGATGAGCCTGCTTCTCTCTCTGCCTATGTCTCTGCCTCTATCTCTCATGAGTAAATAAATAAAATCCTTTTTTTTCAATCATACAAATTATTATTTTTTTAGATTTCTATTTATTTATTCATGAGAGACAGAGAGAGAGAGAGAGAGGCAGAGACACAGGCAGAGGGAGAAGCAGGCAGGCTCCATGAAGGGAGCCTGATGTGGGACTCGATCCCGGGATTCCAGGATCATGCCCTGGGCCAAAGGCAGGCGCTGAGCCACCCAGGGATCCCCCCATACAAATTATTATTAAAAAGTTCAGAAACACACAAAAACAGAAAAAAAGATATGAATATGCAAATTTGAAAAGAAATATGTTGATCAGGAAATATATTAAAAGATGTTCAATGTCACAATACTCAAGGAAATGGAAATTTTAAGAGTCTGGTTTTAAAGATAAATTGATATATACACTGATATATATATAAAGCATTGATTAATACATGTGGAAAG